TCGTTTAAAATCCGTCGTGTTTATACTGAAAAAAAGATCTTCGGTTGCAGGTTTCCGAGAATTTACAAGTACTTGATTCCGAGATTTGAATAGATCTACAAATTTGTACTATCAAGTTTGAACCATTTGTGTATTTTGAATGTGAATATGCTAAGATCATGCTACTGTTGTTTCGAGCTATATGACTTATGATACACTGGAGCAGTACCTTGCTAAGCATCAGTTGGTTTGGCTTCCGTTGGAGCAGTATACTGAAATATCAGCTTTTAATCTTGATGTGTATGAACGATTCCAATTTATCTTGATCTTGAACGCGTATGATTGATTGTGATACCACTGATATTGATCATTATTTTGGATCAATTGTTTCTTAATGAATAGATCAATGAACTTTATTTTGGTTGATTGCATTATTCATAAATTCAATATCATCTTTACTAAACATCATATCTTCTTCGATACTAACAAGTGAATTTTCACTTGAATCTGAAGTTTCTGTTCTTGGTGAGCTAGTACTCAATGTACTATCAGTTGATGGAGATTTAGCACTAGCATTATCTTGTGTACTAGATATGTTCAAAAACTTATCAATTTCTGCTTCATTTAGTATTTCACTTGGTGTAATTGGTGTTTGTCTTTGAGATTCAGCAATTTGACTCAAAATCGTGGTGGAAGATATTATGTGACTGAACATATTGTATAATGTATTGATAGTATAATGAATGAAGTATGAAATGGTTTGTATGTATTACAGATTCTGGGCGTTTTGATTTCGTGGAGAATTCGTTATTTATATGTTTGTTATACATTGAGCTGATCATGAGGTACTTCCGTTTAAATCCAACACGTACGGTCGTTCTAGATAGGTTAATTGGACTTTGGTATAGTACGTTAGAGGTTAACCCCAATTGGTATCGAGGTATATTAAAGCAACTAAGCCACTAGCTGATCTAATGCTCCAATTCGTATTTTTGGATGTTTTTAGCATAAATTTTAAGGTATGACAATCGCTTGTAAGTTGTAAAAGCTTAATATGTGCTTCTCGAAGCTCAAATCCTTCTTATCTAGCTACTGTTGTTATTGGTAATTTAGGGGCCAGGTTTAAGGATGTAACAGGAATTTAGTTAGTCCCTTATTTGATTGACATATGTTAATTGGTGATACATTGCCTATCAAACACGCTTCATTCCCCATAAGATTCTAAAACCGATTAGTCATGTTGCATTGTAATAGGTAGATCCATTCAACTTTTGTTTGTCAATTTACGTTCCAGCTATTTTTGACTTTTGTTGTACAGTAGAATTGTTACATAGAAGGTGATGAATATTATAAGGTTCGCTTCTAGAAGCTTTCTCCAAAGTTTGCATTTCATTGAACTTGAAGGCTCTTAGATGATTAAAAATAGCATCCAAGAGTTCAATGACTTTGAAACCATGAACTTATGATCATCTAATAGTATTCAAAATATAGATGATCATCTAGTTTTAACTTTTGAGTCGACGTTTTTAAAGATCAAATCAGTTTAAAATCCGTTCTACGTAGATATGTACACCTTAGTAAGTTTTAACAATACGTGTATCCAGATCGACGTTGAAAAATACGAGAACCAATCAGAAGTAACAGCATGTTGGTTCATGCTTAATCATGTTCCTAGTGTTAACTTTTCGAGAAATTCTTTCAAGTTGAGGTACGTATTGTTACATTGTACCTTTGTACCTGTTATCTTGTTATAACAGCTTATTTATAAGTTATTACCGTTTATAACATTCGATTTAGATTCGATTCGAAAGCTTGGCCAGCTACAACGTTTTGTCAGGTAGATATGTTCGTTTAGAGGTGTTTCTTCCACAAAAAAATTGGCTCTGGCTGAGCTATACTACTTATGATTGATCTAGTTTGAATCGATCATCAAAAGGTAATGGCCGATATATATGTATATATATTTAATTGTGAAAACTGGTATACCTAGAAATGAAAGTGAATGGAATAAACTTGAATAAATGAATGGAAAATTTCTTCTTAACCCCTATAGTTTGATCAATATTAGCTCAAATTGATTGGGCTTAAGCTGATGAACTAGCATCAAAGTTATAGATATCATTAACTGATCTACCAGAAACTGAATCTTCAACAAATGAGCCAGCGAATTTAATACCAGCACCTGAAGTTTGACCACTTGATGGTTTACCTTGGAAACTAACACTAACATCACCTTCACCGTTATAATGATAAGAAGCAATAGCTGAAGTATCATCAATCTTTGCAAAATTTGAAGATAATGAATCACTAATTGAACCTGATTTATCATCTAAAGTAATTTGATTTGGATTTCTTGAAGATGTAACAGCAGAGATTAAGAAAGTACCTGCACCTGGTAAATCATCTTTCTTAACATTTAAACCAAATTGAACATTAGAACCACTTGAAACATAGGCTTTTGATGGTAATTCTTTAACAGCAGCTAAGATGACCGGTAATAAAGTAGTTAAAGCGATGATTTGTCTTAAAGCGTACATTGTTGATATTGATTTGATATTGATGTTCGAATTGGTTGAATTCTGATGATGATCTAAATCCTAATCACATCTGCAAATTTATCAAGGGATTCTTAGCTCCTTAAATATTCAATTTGAACTATACCTTATAAACTAGAGCTCATGATTTTTATACAGTGAGCTGTGCCTCTTCTAGTGCTATTATTGGACTCTCTTCAAGGGATACAGCTTGGAACCCATCGATATGTTCAGAGTAAACATTCAAGAAGTTGTTAAAAAGTGTTAAAAGTTGTTGAAAGTTGAAAGTTTATGAGTGTTGATGTTTACTTTTCAAATCCTAGTCCGCTTAGTCAAGGCTTAACAACCAATGTTGATCTTTCTATAATTAACCAAAAGATCTCACCAAAATACACCAAAATACACCAAAACACTTCAAATCACATAATCGTTTAAATCTCCCCACAATGTTATCAAAAATGGTTTGTTTTGAAGATCTTCTGGTACTGTATCTCAGGTTGTCCTCGATCCACATTTTTCCCTATTTCCAGAACATTCCATTCCTCGGAATATCTACAACTATATATTGAGACTATTCCTTATGTTCATTACTTTATATTTATTCTATAGTTTTATAGCTTGAAAGACTTCAGTCTTATTAATCAGTTCAAATACATATTTCTGTTGTTCCTTTCCACTCTTACATTTCAGTCTTATCAGTTTGTGTGTTTAGGGTCAAATACGAAACCAAACCCGATCCTAGATACAGTACGTTGAATGGAAACTTCTTTGATATCCACAAACTTGTTCTTTCATTGTTTAACAAAGTGTTCTAGAACACCAGGGGTCCCAAAAGGAAGAAGTTATGATAAATTGAAAAGTTAAGACAGCATAGAACTCAATTCATATTTGTAACTGATAAGCTTTTATATTGCGTTGAACTACTGAAGTATCAGTTTTGAGTAATTGGGGCTACGATCTCTTCTTCTGTTATAGCTATACAAGACCTAATTATATATTTAGTAGTACAACACTGTACAAGAGATCAATACACGCGTAATTTACTTGATCTGGGCTGTTAATATAGCAAATGTCAATCGTAATTATATAGTATACAATAAACATGATCTAGGAAAACTCAGATTTTTATATATATTTACGAAATAGTCAATCTACAGTTATAATAATTGAAATAAACAATAAATTCATATTAACAATGACACATAATTGATATTTGAAGAACACCATGATATTCAGTTGATCTCTCTCAGATCCTAAACTTTAATTATACCTGAATTAAGTGTGAAAGCTTTCAGATATGAGCCAACGAAATGTAAAACAAACAACCCAAAATAATAAAAATTTCAACAATGGACAAAACAGCATGATGATAAAGGTTTTAATGGGTACTGTCAAACCCGGTTGCAGATGAGTTATAAATGGATTCTATTTCAGTCAATGTGAATAAGAGTTCAATATCTTATCTATAACCCAGTATACCAATCTATGTTCATCCATTTTAATAGCGACACCCATGTGGTCGACTATTTTATTGAATAATTTCCATTTCAATTCCAGCTCACCCATTTTAGTCTTGTCTATGTCTACCAATAGTGAATTGGCAGCTTCAAACATTTATCTAATTAAAATTTGATTTGAGGGTGCTTCTTCATGAATAGAAAGTGTTACTCCTGGATAATGTTTCTTTTTGAAATGTATGGTAATAGTTTTGACAAGTTCATCATTGACTGATTCAGGTATACAACAAATTTTTGGAGATTTTGCCACTAATTGCGAAGAATACCTAAAGTGTGGGTAGTTGGACAAATAAGGAATGATTGGTGTTGAATGTGAATCAGTATTTGACTCTTTTAGAACAGAATCATCTAAAGACATGTTTGAGACAGTTTTGGTTTCTTTTGGAAAATCTGAGCACTCCTCCTTTGAGCTCTCATTCATTAAGCCATCTGGACTATTAGCAATTATAAGGTCTGGAGTATCTTGGAACTGAAGTTGTTCAAATTTAAATTTGATAATAGACTCCACAACGCTGTGAGCGTGGTTCAAACAACTGGAATTTAAATGTTGGATGAAAAATGAAGTATCTAATAATTTAAAAAACTTTGTACAGAGAGCCCTATGAATGGAATCCAACATTACCTGTGAAGGATATATAACAGTTTCCTTTAAACCCAGTTGTTCAACAATTGCCTTCAAATCAAGTTCTAATTTGGTTAGTATTAAGCACTAAAGTTTGTAAAAAACAAATAAGGTATCATGATTTACCTAAAGAAGGTCTTAAACCATCCACAATTTTATAAAAAGCTTCAATGTTATTAAAAGCGTCCATTGTCAATAAATAACCGTTGTATAAATATAATCAAAAAAAATATGGAAGAATGTAAAATTGTTTGTATAGTTTGGTTTTTGTGTGTAGTTTTTCCTTGCAAAGATTGAAATGAAAATGTTTGAAATTGAATAGCGAATGTGGTTCTCCTGATCTAGAATTTGTTAATCAAATGAGATTTGTCTGTAGCATCTTCATAAAGTAAATCAAGTTTTGACTTTCGGCACAAATCCTGAATTTATATAAAAACAATTCAAAAAGTTTATAAGATCACAAACACAAACAAAAACAAAAACAAAAACAAAAAAACAGAATTCGCGAAGCGATACTAATATTACATAATCACTGTGCTACAGCTGAGTAATCGTAATAATTTGCATCAATGACACATAATTTAAACAGATTTTGGTTTTTTCAATAGAGTGAAATGTGGTATGTACTTGTACATGTGTTCAACTACTTCTTCCCTTCCTAGTTGACTCTGGTGGATCTCATTTGTCTCTTGGAGATTTGACATCCCACTAGTGATGAATAAAGAAACATCTGTATCAATGAAAAATTTAACAGATGATAATGATTCCACTATCGTTTTGATGAGTGATCTGGCTTCTGTACTAGATGCAAACTTTCTCCTTTGGATTTTGATGTTATGTGAAGCGACTGCACCATCTTTTTTCAACTGTTGTCTATCAAAATCTGGAGAATCTCTGTGATCAGGTGATAATACATATTTCTTATATAGCAAATTCTTTTGAAGTCCTTCCTCTGTAGATATTTTCAAGAACTCACTTCTCTGACCTGAATCATAAGACTTGAAAAGTTCAGAAAGATGTATCAATTCATTGAAATAAACTTTGTTAGGGAAAACTTCATCTGCTGTATTGTAAGGTACTTTGCTAGAACTATGAGTGTCAAAATTCCTAGATATACCTGATTTAGGATGTCCCCATCTACTTTTTCTTTTGTCAAAACTTTTACCTAAATCTGGTCCATAAAAGAAATCTTCAGTTTTAGTTTGGGTCAATGAACATAAGCTACCAACTCCCAATCCTCTATAACGCTCCAACGCACGGTTAACCTGATAATCGTAGACCAATTCCTTATATCCATGTAATATTGAGATATCAACATTAATAGACTTGAAGCTTTTCTTGATTATTGATGCAGGGTTATGGATTAGGTGATTAAATAAAAATTTGATTTCGTCATGATTTGTGATAACCAATGTCTTCCCGTCACGAATACGGTTTGGGACATCATAATCAACATCTAAGAATTCATACTTGAATTTAGAGCTTTCTAAACTTCTTTCATTAATTGAATATGAATCACATGGCTTATCAGGGAAGTCTGGACCTTCTCTCAAGAAACAAGCATCATTTTGTTTCATTTTTTTAATGGAACTAACCACTAATAATAACTGCAAGTTTTCAATTCCACCACCACCAAAAGCATAAGGTGCCAACTCATTAAAGATTGTTTTATTTATACGAAGGACCTCCTTTCTGACACGTTGTTGCATAATCATCTCCCAAATTTCAATTGGAAAAGGTCCTAAAAATGTTTTTTCATGCTCAGATTTTTGAGTGATTTTACTGCTGGCTTCTTTAGCTTCGTTCAAAGATTTTAAATTTTGTTTGTGAAGATGAATCAATGAAAAGAGTGACCTTTTAAACTTCCAATACCTTATTAAAGCTGGTCTGATATTTTCAAGCCAAAATTGTTTTTTCTGATTAAGCGTATTGTCTTTAGTTCCCGCTTGATATAAGTTGGAGGATTCATTTTCAATACGTTTGATATCATTGATCAAAATTTCACGAACAAACTTAGCAGTTTTTAATGATTTCTTTAGATCTGTTGACATTGTGAAGAATAATAAGCTTTATTAATAGATTGAATATAGTTAATATAGTTGTATGTTTAAATTGTATTGCACGAATTTAAAGCTTATGTTATATGTTGATAAAGGATTTTGAAAGGAAAAAATAAAAGAGGAAAACTATGGACTTTCAGAGATATTTATAGTTTCTTTCTGAGCAGTCATCAATAAATTCAACTCAATTTCTATGCTCCAGAGTTTGGGAGTTCTTTGGAGAGGTTATATGAGTTAAAATTGTTGAGTATGAAAATTTGAGTTCTTTATATGAGATCATATCTGATTTTCTCAGGCTTAGTCAAATTTTGAAAGATATAAACCAATATACTAAGAAATACGGTTCAATTGCCTTCAATATATGGATACATATAGTACGTGTGTCTTTTATTTCCTTATAAACTCATAAAATATTCAATTTTTCTGACAATTGTTGTTGATTTTTGAATGTTGAGAGTATTGAAGGGGCAATTTTAACACTCTCTAACAATATGAGAATTCTTGAGCAATTAATATGAAATTATATATTTATGCAGTTCCTATTAATTAAGTACCTCGATTGAATAGGGCCTTTTAAAAAGAGGATATAAGGGAACACTAAGGGGATTGAAGTACCTGCACAAACTTAATTTATTAGTTCATGCTGCTTAAATATTCTTATAATTGAGCTCGAAATCTATTTCCATCTGAGACATTAATGATCGAGATAAGCATACTTAATACATTACATATTGACTGGCTTTAGATCGTGTCTAGCTATAAGTATGTCATAACCTTGTAAACTTCATAACACTCATGATTATTGTGTAAAAAAAAATGTTTACTACTGAAGAATTTTGAGGTACCCAATTTTCGGATTTTATCGGATAAGTCATGCTAATGCTTATTTGCTGTGCTAGGATGCTTATAAGGCACTTAAGCCTAAGACCCTTTAGTACCTGAAAATTATTTTATAATATATATAGACTATAAGGAATATTAATTGTTGAATCATTAACATTACTTTAAGAGAAATTTGACAAAATACGTAGTACTATAGATATAGATATTCGCTAAGAGAATCTACTATAAAAAAGGGTATGAAATGGTATCAACTCACCATAATTAATATCATTTGAATTTATAAAAGGGACAGCGCTTAAAAAGTATCAAAAAAGTAAAGAATGTGGTTTAGAGATCTCAAATCTATTTCAACCTTCAAGGGACATTTAATTCTTAGCAACTAATGAATCGTATGTAACAGATGTGCCATCATTGTAAGTATAAGTAGCTTCAAAAGTCAAAAAATTACCATTCAAATCATCACCTTTAGCACTAACAATAACTTCTAAGTCTGTTCCTTGTACTGGAATATTATATGAAGCTTTGAATGATTTATCTTCAACAGTTGGTTTACCATCTTCTTTACCACCAACTATAGAAATTTTATCCTCTAAAATACCATTTCCTGTTAATGAACCTTTTATTGATAATGAGCCAGTTTTTGGTGGATCTGCATTGAAGAAGAAAAGAACTTGATCACCATTACCAACTCTTTGAGCATGAACTTGTGGTTCAATACTTGGACCTGAAGCTGGAATAGCAGCTGCGAAGATGATTTGAACTAAAGCTAAAGCGGCAAATAATTGTTTGTGAAATAACATTTTTGAATATTTGATTAATATTGTAATGAATTTAGTGAATTCAATTAGTAATATACTGGAATCAATTTTGAAGATGCATAGGGGATTCATCCCTTCTTTATACTCTTTTCAAGAGTATCCCTTGTTCAATCCATTAAAGTACCACCAAGAAATCAACCATAGCCTTTTCTATTTTTAATTAACTCAACTTTGTGGCCTAAAGACCATGTAATCTGGATCAGAAGTTATGAGTTTGCTTATGTTGATAGTTCTTAGCAGTAAAAGTTTTAAATAACTATAGATCTACTCCAAAACTTTTGGATTCCGAATTTCCGATTAGTAAAAAACTGACAACATGCAATAGAAACTTCTGAACTAGTTTCTAAAAGTGAGTAGCGAAGAGCTTCAAACCACAATTTGACATCATAAGGGTCTCAATTGAGTTAAGGTTTCCCTTAATTTATATCTACAGCTGTGAATTTGTCTACCATGTGTTCAAATTAAAATGCATGGAAACATATATTATGAAGTTTGCAACTATGTAAAATATGAAGAACTTAATTTTGAGTAAAGTAGCTAGGTAATTAGCAGCTCGACTGATATAATTTCACTGTTTTTAGCTTGATTCAAAGCGAGCAGTACTATTGAATGGATTATTTGTTGTACCTCTGAAACGGTGATCAACATAAGTACCAAAGAAATTTGTAGTAAAATTTTCATAATTATCTTTATTTGAAGCAAAATATAAAGATAAGGTAACATCTTTTTCACTATCACCATGATAATACCAGGCACCTGTAGATTCAACTTTACTATCAATAGTATAATATCTTTGAGATAAGTTATCACTTAACCCAGTATTTGTATCATTTGAAACATATTCATATTGTGTCCAAACTGGACCATTCAAGATAGTTGTAAAGAATAAAGTACCGGCATATTCACCTAATGAACCAGCAGGATAAGTGATTTGAACTGAACCATATTTGTCACCTTCCTTATGAGCGATCTTAGTGATTGGATCTGGAATTGAAGCAGTGATTAATTGAAAGATGGTGAAGATTGTGACTAATTTGAATAACATTTTGGTTTGTAATGATTTATATGAGTTTACTGAATCAGATATAGACCAGATTAAGTTTCAGTTGGTACATAGACACATATATTTATACTTTTTCGGTGCTTATAGCAAACAATAAACATCTCAACTAGCAATAACAGATCAACAATCAATCTAAATATATAAATTCACTGATGGATTTAAGTGAACATTTAACATACTTAACATATTTCGCGTAATTGCTTACTCCGATTATGTAATCTGCGCGTAATCAATATACGCTATTTGATCTAAAAATAGATATCTTTAGATTTTCGATCATTTTGATAATCATTTTGATCTCGTATTGTTTTAGCTCTAACTTCTTAGGTATTGAGTACTTAATACTTACTACTAGATAGTACCTATTAAGTGAGAGATCAAGAGTGCTTTGCCATGAAAGTAGATCTACCAGGATCTAAATTTAGTTTATTTGAAATCTACACCAAGTCAATTGATTACACCCTTAACAGCCAAGAAGTTTTTCAACATGGAATGAATATTGAAATGTTACATATAGTAATTGTGATGAGTATCTTGTATTAAGAACACTGTTCATTTATGATATAAAATTATTCGAGTACCAAAATATATATGGGGATTGCATGCACTGGTCTAGTATTATGAGTCATTCATGAATTAACTAACAAAATGAGTCTAGCTGTAAGTATAGACGTGTTGAACTGAACTAATGTTGACCGTGTGCTGAATATTATATGAGCTAGTATAGCTCTGATACTGATGATTGTAAATAGATGATCCAAATGGTTGTATATTATCACCTTGATTAATTGTACTTGTATATTCATTTGATTGAAAAACAGTTGAGGTCATTGACATATTTGATGAATTATTACCATAAATTACTAGCAGCAGATGGGGTGGATCTAGACTAGTATTATCAACGGTATAAATATATATTGTATCAGCTAGGATTTCAATGACATAATCAATTGTTTGTGTTGGAAGAATTTGAAGATCAGAGTATAAATAGTAGTTGATTGGTTGGTATATCATTAAATGGATTGAAATTGAGAATATTGATATTTTACCAAACTGAGAATATATATAATATCAATTTAAGAGAATTTGAATTCAATTATACCACAGCTTCAAAGTAATGCTCATATCTATATCTTCTAGTGCTTGGTATTATTATATATCCGTGGCTTATATTACTCTCGGCGTTTCGGTGAAGGTAGTAGAAGTGACACAAAAATTGATCAAGTATACGAATTCGTAATTTACAGGAGTAGTTGATCATTATGGATCTAGATCTTAGATTTTTAGTAATGTAGCTCTAGACCTTAAAGTCTTAAGCGCTGAGAGAAGGTCCTACGCGGTAAGGTTTGTCTTTCGAGTGATCATAATTAATACTCATTATGTATATGAATTATTGATTATACAAATAGTATTATAACTACATAATTTGTACGTCAGCTATGTTAATTTGTTATGAGCTTTTGATTATTAAAGAGGAAGTTTGTCAGTGATGAAGTTATAAACATCATCAACTGGTTTACCATCTACTGAATCTTCAATGAAAGAACCGACAAATTTAACTGATGAACCAGTATATTTTTCTGAGCTTAAATCAGCATTGTAAGAAAGAATAACATTGCCTGAACCAGTATAATGATATGAAGCAACAACAGTTGTAGCTCCAATATTGACATAGTTGGATGATAATGAATCACTCAATTTGTTATAAGAACTATCTTTTTTCAATGTAATTGAATTTGAACTATCATTTGAAGAAGCAACAGTTGAAATCAAAAAAGTACCAGCACCTGGTATATCTTGTTCATTAAAAGTTAAACCAAATTCCAAATTTTTAACAACAGCAGCACTGAAAAATGGTGTAGCTGGTAATCCTTTGACAGTGGCAAAGATGAATTGGAATAAAGAGAAGAATGTGATTAATTGTTTGAATGATAACATTTTGAGACTGTGATTTGATATGATTTGTATATATCAAAGTTTTTGAAAAACGTCTATGATTACATGGAAAACTCTTTCCTTTATATACAATTCATCAACTTCTAATAACAATACTCAAACATTCTCTTGATGTTTAATTAAATGTTCAAATGACTTCATCATACACTGAAATTTTCATGAAATTTTAGACGCCGATTACCTCCGCTTTGTCTTCTAAATGACCTTCTAGAAGCCAAATTCAAAGGGGTAAAATACTCTTGTTAATTAGTTTATTGCATTTAATCTTAATTCAAGTAGATCAATGTATTTCAAAGGTCTCAACTCTAATTCTGTGATCACTGATGAAATTCATAAAACTGTTCTTTCATCGACGATCTCGAGTTCTTTATTTAGATCGTTCGAGAATCGATATGATCAGCTAGCTGTACTGCATATAATCATGTTACGCATTATAGTAACAAGTTCAACTAGGGCTCAGAGTTTACTTTTGTAGCTACAATTCTATTATATGGCTTAAGTTTGAGTCATACAAGGTTCATATTAATCCGATTTAGATATAATTGCCACTACAATCTTATTGAACTATTGAGCAAGCTCAAGTATAAAAGGAATGGATTCGTACATAACATTAAATTATAACTAGATATAGAGATCATAAAAGCTTCGTTAGAAAATTGATGAAAATGTTGTATAAGACCAATACTCATGTCTTGATCGAAAGATCAAATGGATATCCTTCTTCATAATCTGAAGTACCATCAATTTTTGGTCTGAAAATACCTTTGACTTTAAATTTAGTATTTGTAGCTGATGCAGTAGTAGCTTGACCATTAATATTAATAGCAACACCTTCACCTTGATCTCTATAAGTATGTTCATATGACCATTTACCATTAAAAATTGAATCTGATGAATCAAACCCTAATTCTTTTAAATTTGGACTTGGTTTAACACTACCTTTTGAAATTGTAACATTATTATCACCATAGTTGAAAAGTTCACCAAAAAGATAAATATAACCTGGACCTGTTAAAGTATGAGATGGGTATAAAATTGTATAAACAGCTTGAGAACCTGCAGTTGTCCCATAAACTAATGGTTTGATCTCTTGTGAAAGAACAATTTGTAATAATGTAATAACCGTGAATAAGAACTTGAATTGCATTTTGATAATGTAGTTAGTTGTAAATTAAGTGATTAAGATCTTCTCAAGTGTTGGTGTTTAGGATCTTGTTGTGGTTTATATAGTTCATTAAAAGATCATAATTTATACCATCTAATTATGGAAACAAAGCAAGTTTGATTTTTGTGTCACTGCAAAAAATGAAATTTTAGAAGTTTTTGAACTTTAAACCATCGAGAATGATGCCTTAATGCTAAAATTTAATCATATGATCTATTTATCAAGTCACAATTATCAGTAAAAGCTTCTATTGTGATCACTTATGACGTTTTTTTGTTGATGTTAAGAGATCAATAGAATGATTAACTTGTATAATTACTTATGATACAGCTGAAATGGGGTCTAAATACCAAACATTTAAACTAATTTGGGGAATTTGTTGAAACTATAATCTATAAATACACAACTGTGAAGTCAAATTTGCTTCTTCATTTGTTATAAATAGAAGTATTTATTCAACCTTGGAATCTTTAGAGAAGTTCATCAAATCTTAAACTGTTTGATTACGATTGATTTTAGTTTCTTTGTCAATCAACGAAAAAGTACTACACAGCGCGCGAAACTAGTGCCAAACAAAGGACCCTTAAACGAAAATGATCATTAAAAAACGAAATATTTCAGCTTTAAACTCAAATTCAAGAACGACATAAAATTTGTAAATATTTGCGAATATATCATTAAAGTTTTGCAAATAATGGAAACGAAAATGTAGTTGCAATTCAAAAGCGAAACTTGAAAGTGCAGAACGAAAACGAGTTACATGCAAAACGAAAGTGCAAAACGAAAGTGCAAACACGAAAGTGCAAACACGAAAGTGCAAACACGAAAGGGCGAAACGAAAGTGTAAAACGAAAGTGCAAAACGAAAGTGTAAAACGAAAACGAAAGTGAAAAGCGAAATAGCGAAAACGAAAGTGAAAAGCGAAATAGCGAAAACGAAAACGTACTGTGCAAGAAATAATGTCAATTTGCAAAGTACTAATGCTTAAGAAGTTAGAACCAAAAGATTACGCGGCCAATGTACTTTATGATTTGATGATAATATCTATAAGCTAGCTGCAAGATAGTGTAGATAATATTATAGCTACAAATATCTTTTGTGTCAATTTCAATAATTGGGTAATCGTATCGAATCTATTAAAAGGTAATTATTCAAACAAATAAATATAATCAACTCTAGTGAACAACCATATGGTAGTTGTTCATTTACAATTGAAATATAAAACAAAGGTAAATCCCTATTTATCAAATAAGGATCAACAACAGTCAAGAAGTAATGACCATTAACGTATAGAATCACAAATCACTTTCATATGTCATGAAAATTTTCTATAATTGGAATTGGTATTGAAAATAAAGGATCTTTGAGGCCAAAAATAAAAACACATCATTATATCAATGTATCTTGAACTAACATCTCCAACAATGATATCAAAAAATTAAATTAGTAAAATAAAAAAAAGGTTTCAAAAGCAACGTGAAAAGAAAAGCTTTTGAACAAGATAGAATTAAAATATAACACACGTAAAACCGTACCCATAACATAAAATCATCTCATCAAGAGACAACAAAGAACAAAAATGTTGGCATCAAATTAAAATAAGAAAACAAATGCTGGTAATAAAAATCCTAAACCTGAAATTAATTTATTACCAGAACCTTCATATGTTGAGACACCAGCAGTTGTTGAACCTTCTGGTCCTGATGGTGCACTTGATTGTTGTTCTGCAGTTGGTGTGGATGCTTCACCACCTGAAGCTGCTGTTGATTCTGAAGCACCTGGAGCACCTGGAGCACCACCAGTTGGGACTGCAGTACCAGATGGTAATGGGACTGGAGAAACTGAAGCACCTGGAGCACCTGAAGCACCTGGAGCACCACTAGTTGGAACTGAAGCGCCTGGGTTTTCTGGAGCACCTGAGCCTTGACCACCACTTGGTTGAGCTGGGTTACCTGATGGAGCTGGTTGTTGAGTGTAAGTTGGTTTTGGTTTTTCATCACCTGGTAATGTTGAAGTTTGAATAATGATGATGATTGATGAACCATTTTCATCAGTAGTTGGACGAGCTTCACCACCTTCTGGAATTGAATGTGTAGTTGGACCTTCACCTGGAGTAATAGTAGTGATTGCTGTTTCAAATGGCTTGGATGGACCTGTTGATTCACCTGGTTGTTCTCCTGTTGGGGTAGGTTGTGCGGTTGATTCTGTACCAGTTGGTTGAGGTTCACCAGGGGAATGAGTTTTAGTTGAGACAGGACAATAGGTAGTAATGATAGTAACAATGTTATTTGTAGTGATTGTAGTAACAGTTGTACCCCAGATAGTAGTTTCACCACCTGAACCACCATTACCTCCTGTTGATGAAGGATTAGCAGTACCAGCTGAGCTTGTTGGAGTAACTGATGAGGCATCATCGGGAATAGTGATTGTGGATGAAAATTCATAAGTGGTAACAGCTCTTCTAATCAATCTCTTACCATCTGGAGTGGTGATTGCTAAAACAAGATCTGAAGTAAATTCTTTAGCGTTTGATAATCTTTCAGCAGCGTAAACAAATGATAACCAACCATCTTCTGGAGCTTGTTCACCGGTAGTAGCAGTAATATCCGCACCTTGAGTTGAGACATCTGCTTGTTTAGGTTCACCGTCAACTTCAACATCAACTTGTTGAATTTCATAACCTGAACCTGAAGCAGTAATTTCAACTGAGGTCCATGGTCCTAATGATCCTGGAACGAACAATTTCCAAGTTAATAAACCATCAATAAATTCACCTTCTAAGTATGGAGTTTGAGTAGCAGATGAGGATTCAGATGATGATGGTAATGATGATGATGGAGCTTCAGATGATGAAGGTGGTTCAGTAGATGAAGAGTTACCATAAGAAGATGGTAAAGCTGATGAAGCTGATGAGAGATCTGACGAAGCTGATGAAACATCTGATGAAGCTGATGATGAAATTGATGATAAATCAGATGAGGCTGATGATAGAGCTGATGATAAATCGGATGAAGCTGATGATAAATCAGATGAAGCTGAGGATAAATCAGATGAAGGTGATGGTAAACCAATTGAAGGGAAACTTGATGACCCAGCACTTGAGTTATTGAAAAATTGCGCACTGGCCAAAGTGGCTGACAACAAAGATGAGACTAATAAGCGAGTGGAGACCATATTTGTAGTTGGAATTGTATATCAGGTAACTATAATATTACAAATTATATCAGTATTTAAGGAGGATAGTGGACCCTTTTATACCCATGTGCCATCATGAACTTCATAGTATATAGATGTTGAGCAAAAATGAGCTATTCTTAGAACGAACTAAAAGCAGCAACCAGCCCCTAAATTTCCCAAAGAGGACTTGAAGAGTTCTCCATTCAGTAATAGTAGCGTATTTCAGCTAAACCTTTCTGTGTGATGTCTTTGATTTGAATGAATAACTTGGAAGGTTTGACGAATTTTTTACAACAATTGACTAATATCCACTGAAAAATTAACAAAATCGCGAATAATTTTTGGCATATAAGCTGTTCCTACTTTTAAATTTTGGTCCTGCTATGCACATTCAGGTGCATATAAACTTAAATAAGGCATCTGTATACAGTGAAAAACATAATCATATGAATAAAGTTCGAAGTTTGAACAGCAGTGGAGCACCTGCCTGAGGAATCAGGACGCATGGCTCCCAATCTTGGTAATTCAGAACTTTATTCTATTATAGGGATTGTTCCATGGAAATCCAAGGGATATTTATGGTAGTAATTAAACCCATATAGGTGAGATCTTGAAGTAAACTAGAGGTATATCGAATCTCGATCTTAGCTTATATACGTTGCTGACGTACATATATTATCTGACCAATTTATAATTGCACCATATGGTTTGACCGAAATGGTACGTAGCTGTAATGATTAATTGGATCTCTATATAAATAATATGAATCGAGATATATCTATACAATTTCAAGATTTAGATCCCTCAGTTCAATTCAACGTCAATCTCCAAATTCAGGACCAATTAGTTAAACTGTGGGAACCACAAAACCACTGGTATACCCGCCTTCCGGAAGTGGAAGTTTACCATTTTGAATTAGTAGATTTTTACATGATGAGTGATGAGCTACTTTTAAACAGTTGTCGATCACACAATTTATAATGAATTGGACATTTGCACATTTCCTATATAAGCATTAGGGGTGTCGTATAGATGTGGTCAATTAAAAGGTACTTGCAGTATCCTACTCATCTCCTCAGAATACTATATAGTACTGATTGTCATCACTGTGGCAGCTTCCATAATTCGATTTTTGAAAGTCTTCAGTCAAGAGTCAGTGCTACGTCAGAAAACCCCTATGCATTTCTGGAAACTGGGGTATATAATACCACATTAATATAACCAATATTTTCCCATGAGTATGAGGCTAAGCAAAAATTTGGTATATTATCGACAGCTGAATTCGTACATTGTCAACAGCTTAATTATAAGCTGTTGTATATATGATTGAAACTTAATTCATCATTAATTCCAGAATTGGTTATGAAGTACTATTTGAATTTTGATCCATGGTATATATCTCATTTCATTTTAGTAAAAGATCAGCGCCATGAAACCCTGAAAGCCAATTAAGAATTGTATGACTGTGTAAATTACACTTTGAAATTTATACTACTAATGCGCTCTATTAATTACTAATATAGTTGATCTTTACCATGATTTTGAGTTCTAAAGTCATGTCTATCTCCCAGACAATATTTATGACTCTAAAATTATGATTGTGTAGCTAATTATCAGACATATTATAGTACTGTATAGATCGAATAGTATTTACACTGAGTGCAGTCTCTCTCTTATTTTACACTGATAATGTGTATCTTAAATACCATAAAAAAGCTTCATAGGTGCACCTCATTCTTTGAATTTAGATTGTTCTTTCATGTGGCTTCTATGTTCTAAAATCTCACCATCTCTCAGGGCATAGATTCAGTCGGATCAACGTGCTTTAATTATATTCACTGTATATATACAGATGCATGAAAGTAACCAAGAAACATATGATTGCATTGAAATCCTTCTTTACTTCATGTTAAATGGTTCTGTACGGTTTATCTAGAGGTCTTTACGTTTATCATTCAAAGTTAGACATATTTTAGTAGTACATACTACGGTAATAATTAGAGTGCAGGATGTAAGCGTTACATTTGAGCTATCTCAAGTACTCTTTTATATTTTATCAGCGTATTTGTATCAGCTAGTGTCTTAAATTAGTTTAGAGTTTCGAGTGTGTTAAATTTTACGTTGAAAGTCCACCAATCTCCACTTTGTATGAGATGTACTTTCTAAAAGAAGGAATCCGCAAGATTGCCCTGTTTCCCAATCGGGGGATCAAGTGAAGCATTTTAAGACTTTGGTTCATGATGACGAGACATGACTACAGGCGACCACAGGTGTGTGATATTCAAAAAGTTTTATATACGATAAGCTCTATCTGGCCTATGATCGAGTTTTCCCTAGATCAATAGCAATTAGTAAAGTGTATTTAATCCCATATCAATTGGCCGAGAGTTTTTCCTTTCATATAGTCGAATTGCTACAATTTAGAAACCTTCATCATGAATATCAAGTATTAATTAAAAAATAAAGGTAAAGAAAGTTTAAAATTAAATACGATTATATGTTATTGTACCCCTTTCTGTTATATCCCGTTATTGTTATTTGTATTATTATTATTATTATTTGTTATTATCATAATGTCCCTTCTATGTCTTTTAAGCATTCATTCATTTCAACTTCATCTAATGCCTTAATGTATAAACATTTACTCAAAACTTCACTATCAGAATCTAATTTATATAATGTACTCCATTGGACGCATTGAATCAAAGATTTGACAATCTTTGCATCTGTTCTAAATTTGTTAAAATTGATGAGCTTCCCTCTTATTGAACTTCTTTCCTTGTTAAAAATTAAATCAGACAAATATAAACCTAAAAATGGTACACAACCTTTTGATGGTTTAATATTATTTAGTTCACCTCTCAAATTTGCAAAATTTCTAAAAGGTGATGAAATTCTTTCTAAATTTTTATAAATCAAAATATCACCAGGTTCAATGATTCTCCATGTATTTTTCAATTTTAAAACTTTACCAGAACCTAAAGCTAACAAGATTTCCATCAATGTTGAAAAATTTTGTAATTGATAACAATTTTGTGCAATATGAATAAATCTTTGAATTGTTAATTTTCTTAATGTGATATCTTTTGTTAATAAAATTTCAGAAATGATCCAATTAACTGTAAGATTAAATCTTGAAATACAAAGATCAATACCTTGAATTGTTTGATTTTGTATTAATAATTCCAACCAACTGTTAATTGATACAATATTATTGAATTCCCATTTCAGCTCAATCAATTCTTTCCAGTCAATTTCTAATAAACAATCTTTTTCAATTAATGTAAATTGTTCAGCTAATGTCTTGGAATTGAAATTCAAAATAAATGAAATATGATTAACATTATTTGAAATTGATAAAACTTCATTATTAATCTTGTGATTTATCAATAATTCCAATAATAATTTTGAACTTGATTGAATAGAAATTGGTTTTTGTTTCACAGGAGTTAATGAAAACATTCTAGTTTTTCTTCTTTGATCAATAAAGATAGAGTTTCTAGCACTTTTAACATTTAAATCATCAACTTGTCTTTCTAATTCTTTGGAATCAATACTTGAATCAGCAGTTTTGGTTTTTTTAGAAACATTTTTTTGATAACTACCTTCCAATTTCAACAAAGCTGCATTGATTGGATCACTTTGGAATGAATCATCAGAAATTGCAGCTAATTCTGCTATAGCATCAGGATCAACACCTGGATATGGAATAGCAAAGTCACTTGATTCAACTAATCTAATACTTTCTTCATCTTGTTTCATTAGTTTTTGTTTAGCTTGATCAACATTATTCACACTATGTACAGAATCATCATTTATACTTTCACTCCCTGGAATCATAACAATTTGATTTTGTCTTTTAGCATTACTGAAAATTGAATTTGCAGAGGAATCTGAAACTTGAGGTTTTGATCTTGTTGAATCATAAGAAATATATGACCTATTTGATCTTCTTGAAAGATATGATAAATGCTTTTCAGCACGACTAACTTGATTAAATGATGGAATTCTATTCAAATCAAATTTTTCAGACTTTGGAGATCTCACAGTCATATTCAACAATGATTTTTGTTTTAATGGAGATACATGATCTTCCTCTTCTATCTCTTCATCACTTTCCATTATAGATTTAATTGGTGAAATATGTGGAGTTGATGAAATAATACCATCGATAGCAGGTGGTGTTGTTGGTTCAATATGATCACTTTCACTTAAGCTATTAGCTGGAATAATATCATTGTTGGTTGGTTCCAAATATTCTGGGGTATCTTTTGGATTGGAATCATTTGCAGTTATTCCATTTCCAACCTCACCATTTTCAATATCTTCAGCATCTTCATAAGTAGAAACAAATGATTCAATTTCATCATAATCTGAGTCTGTATTAGCGCTATTTGATGATACTGGTCTTGATTTCTCTATAGATTCATCTTCTTGAATTGATGGTGTCTGATCAATAGTTTCTTGTGAATCTTTCGCATTTGGTGTTGATTGTATAACTGATTCTGCTTCTGTTTCTGATTTTGCCTCCACTTCCACTTTTTCTTCGTGGCTTACCTCTGCTTCTGATGATGATTGTTCAATATGATTGGATTCTGGTTTTGGAGATGATTGTTGTTCAACATGATTAGATTCTGGTTTATTCATATCACCACTTGAAACAGGAGTAAGAGGCTCATTATTAACTTCAGTTTCAGCTTTTTGAATGGTTTCTCTTTCTTTTTGTTCTTCTTTTTGATCAGATGGATCCATTGGAATAGTACTTTCAGAAATGATTGATCTTGGTTTATCATTTTCAAAATTAAACTCTCTTAAGTTTTCAATTCCAACTTTCTTCTTAATGAATCCATCATCTTCCAATTTTTGTTGATTATTTTCTCTTGACATTGTTGAATCATAAGAAATATAAGATTTATCATCACCTTCACTAAATTTATGTTGGAAAGATAAAACACTTTTGTTTATATTCGTAATGCATTCACAAATGTTCATATTATCAATATTTGATACTGTGTTTTGTAATTGATTTTTCGATTGATTTTGTTCATCAATTGTAAAACTGAAAGATTCATTAACTGGACTGAAATTAGCACCATGTTTATTTAATAATTCATTATGGAATTTAACCAAATATTCCAATTCATCTATTGTTCTAGCACTTAATATATCAAATTTATCTAAAGTTAATTTGAGTAATGATTCATTATCAGGTCTTGCAACTGAAACAACACTTCTCATAAATTTTTCAACATGTTCATTATTATCTTTAGATTTATGTTTTGAATTATGAAGATGAAATGTCTTTAACCAATTTTCAAATAATGGTCTTAAACCTTTTGAATTTGGAGTTTGATTTTTTGGAGGATTTGGTAATTGAACTTTAACTTCCATTTTCTTAACAGGAGTTGGTGGAATGAATTTAGTTGGTTTAGGATCTTTTGGGAAATCAGTTGCACCTCTTATAGTATTAAAATTTGTATTTGTTGGTGATGTTAATGGTATGTATAAATTTTGAGTTTTAGGATCTGTTAGAATGGCTCTACTTAATCTTAAATTTGAATTTTTTGGATTCAAAAATTGCTTTGGTGCAGGTTTAGCTTGCTTATTGGGTATTGGAATTGGTAATTTATGTATAGTTTTCTGATCAAAAGTTGAAAGAACAATACTATTTCTAATCATTGGATCTCTTTGTTGATTTATAGCAAAAGTTGATAATCTTTTAGCTTTTGTTGAAGTTTTTTGTGGACCAATTTTCAAATCAAAATTATCAAAAGAATCTGGATTTATATCTTCATTCCATGATTTATTACAACAATAAGTCCAATGACCTTTAATCTTGGAAATAATTCTTGTAACGAATAAATCTGTTGATTTAATTGAATTTATAGCATTTATAAAAATTTCACGTAATTCCACAAATGGTATGAAATCATCAGCAAAATAATTTAATAACCAATGCCTTATCACAACAAAAGTTCTAACTAATGATAATTTACCAATGTTTTGTCTAGTCTCATGTGATGTATCTTCTATTTGTTTTAATGACCATTGTAATTTCAGTATAAGTAATTGTAATAATGAACTTTGTGATATGAATGATCTATACGTTAGGAAGAAATCACTAACTATTTGATAATCTATTTCAGACGGAGACGTGAGTATGTTTATCAGTGTTATTATATCAACATGACTATTTGGACTATTTGGAGATGATGGTGGAGATTGTTGTTGTGGTTGTTGTTCTGCATTCTGTATTTGATTCTTTAATGGTGATGGTTTATAAGATAAGGATTGATCCTGTACTATGGTGTCAAAGTTTGCCAGATCCAAGCTATGTACTTGGTAATCGATGAGGTCCGTCATCACTTATATTTGAAGATTATGATATATGAAAACGAATGAATGAAATCAATAGTTTATGGTTCTTTCCAATGTTATGATTTTTTAATTGTTTTCACAAGGATCTGAATTATTCACACACCTCTTCTTCAGAATGTAAACAACTCTTCTTTATGTGGGTATCAACAAGGGAATCTTTGGACAATGCTTGATGGGAATGTACGATACCTGATGGAATGTTTATCTTTTTTAGTGTGAATCTGATGATCCCTGTCGAGCAGCAGTAGAATGAGCCCAATTGAAGCACAATGTTTGATCGTTGTATCGTTGTATAAAGCGAGAGACTGAAGACAAAGCGAGAGACTGAAGACCTTGTTTACTGAGACAGCGATGAGAAGCTTGAAACTTTTTCACCATTTGTTTTGATTCCAATGTTGTGTGTTTTCACGCCTTTTTCCGTTTGTTTTGAAATGCTGAATTTAAGTCCCTTTCGCTACTGAAAAGATGCGCGTTTGGCATAGAACCGCGACAAACTGAACAACTATAAGGAAAATGTATTGTTTTGAAAAATTGTTTATATTCTTCATGTATTTATTAACAATACTACAATTTTCTAGACTTCAAAAGCTTCATTTGTTGTGATTTTAGTATAGATTTAACTAATTGGCTATTGTAATTATGTAATTGCTTATGTAATTTTGACATATAAAGGATCAAAGATATGTCTCAAAGAGGTTTTATTCTAGATCTGGGAAGAATCTTTGAAGATTTGGTGCTCTAGTGATTGTTATTAGCTAGCTTATTTGGATACTAAAGTTAATATCGTATTAATCTACTGGTTATCGAGAAAAATCTGTCAAAATGTGTCATAAATTCATTATTTTAATGGTGAAAGAGTGTTCATATATCTATAGATTTTATAGTTTCAATTGTTTTTTTCATGATTGACATTATTGAAAACCTCTTCCCATTGTGGGTATATAGGTAATCCTACTTTACTCTTTATAGCATATCCTTTCTTATAATCACGTTGTAATAAAGCCCAACAAACAGCAATACTAACAACAGCTAATCCAATGAATGCAGCACAAACATGATATCCTGCTTTATAATGAGGTGCTGTAGATGCTGGGAATAATAGGACTTGTAGCCAGGCATTTGTAGCATTAACAAATGTATTCCCCACTGCAACAATCATTGATCTTGTTAATGGATTACCTTGACAAATTTCATTAGCCCAAGCCATTAATAATGATTGACCAGGCCATCCAACGTTTATTAAGATATAACCAACAAATTTTAAACCTTCAGGAGATTTCCAAGGTGCAATAAATGCATTACCCATCATACAGATAATCATATTGATTATTATGATTATTGGTCGATGACGGAAATAATCTGATAGTATGGAACTTATAAACGAATTGATAATAGCTGCACCTTGTGAAGCTGTTGGTATTTGATTCAATTGTTGTACAGTGTATTTATTTAATGATTGTAACCAAAGATTGAAATAATTCCCACCCCATGAAAATGTACCATATAAATAAAAACTCATTACAAATCCATATAAATGCCATGTTGATAATGATTGTTTAATCATTTGCCAATTAGCTTTTGTTATTGGTTTTCTACCAGCTAATTCCATTCTTTTTATAGCATATTTTTTTTCTTTAGAGTTTAAGAATCTTGATCTAGTTGTGGTAGGGGTATCAGGTATAATTATATACCCCAATATAACAACAAATATACTAATAACGCCATCAAATATAAATAACCATCTCCATGCAGCAAGACCATGTTTCCCATCCATATTTGAATATAATCCAGCTTGGATATATCCTGAAAACATTGCAGCAACATTACCTGATATTTCATAAAATACAATTCTTTTACCTAATTCATTTGGTAAATACCATGAAGAAATTAATGCAGTAAAACCTGGGAATCCAATTGATAGAGCACATCCAATTAAGAATCTTAACCCATATATAGTTTTAGCATTTGATGCACCAGCACAACACATCACAAATATACTCCATAATAATTCACAAGTTGGTAAAATTATTGAAGGTCTAATATAAGTTGATATGAAAATTAATGGAACAGAACCAGCAATTATACCACATGAATAAAAAGTTTGGAAAAGATTTAATTCATTCCCATATAATTTTAAATCTTTTTGCATTCCTGATACATAAGCATTTTGAATATTTGAATTATCTAAAGTTGATATAAAACTTGATAATAGCGAATAACCAAATACTAAAATATCTAATTTCCTTATAAATTTTGCATGTTCAGAATTTGAAAAAAAATATTCAGGTAAATTTCTTTTCCATCCTTCTTTAGGTGGATCTCTTGTTAGTTCCCAATCATTATCATCATGGTCTTGATAATCATTATCTGTTTCATTGTTGTGATCAAGTTGTGGATCTATCTCATATGAATGAGTCAAATGTTTTTCAAAATTGGATATTTTTTTATTTGTAGATGGTGAGTCAAGAGAATTTTCTTTATTTGTGTTATTTGATTTTGAAGACATGAATAATGAACAATTATTGTTTTCTAATGAATATTGTTTTGTGGATCTATAAAGAGTTGCGTATGTATGATAAAGTAAATGATCTTAAAATGTGGATCTAATGGTTGAAAAATTTACTCAAGTGTATTACCGGGATTGAATATATGACGATGAGCTTTTTGATTCCATGAAGAAGCCCAAGTTTATGAAAATATAGATCTATGATTAAAACCAAGATGAAGTGTTTTGAATGATATGTAGAACTTTTGTATATGACTGCATCATCATTTGTCAAACTGTCCAAGATTTGACTCGATTTAATATTGTTTAATCGTCCGGGAATAAATTGCAGCCACATATATTAATTACGTCTGAACTTCACTAATATCCAAAGGAACAGTATCAATATAATACCAAAGCATTAAGTAGTAGTATCGTCTCTTATTCTTAAGTAACACACTCCATATACTTAAATTTTTAGTTCTGTAATGCACTTTCAATCAATTCTAATGTTCTTATATGATTAAGGCTGATCCGAATATATCGATTAATTCCGGTGTATTACGTAATCAACTATGAAATAAATATATTTCAAATTTTCATTTAAAAAGGTATTAAATTGATAAATGAAGGACTGTTAGTGGACAATTTGAGAGTCCATATTATGAATATAAAGTCAAATATTGTTTTGGGAGAAAAAAATTACATTTTTTGAAATTATTAAATTTTACCAACGTTTAAATTTTTTTTTTAACTTCAAAATTACATATAAGTAAAATACAAAAAATTTAAAGTACTCAAAACGATAAAATGGCAGTACTGGATAAGAACAAATTGTAATTTGAACAGTTATTAATCAATATTCAAGTTTTAAATTAATTTCTGATTGTTTTATAAACAAAAAATCAAAATATCACGTGATTATCACATGGTCTTTCTGACAGAACCTGAAAAAAGTGCAATTTCACAAAATCAGAACTCGTCCTTGTTAGCTCAGTTGGTAGAGCGTTCGGCTTTTACAGTCAAACTAGGGAACATTCATTTCTTAGCGGAAGTTTACCGAAATGTCGGGGGTTCGAGCCCCCCATGAGGAGTTCTATTTTTTTGCCGTTTTTTTCGAAAATTTATCAAATTTATCATTAAAGAATAGTTACTAGTTAATGATTAAAGGATCCTTTCTCAAGAATACACCATATTCCCCATTTAAGTCTACTGAATAGTATGGAAAGAGCTGATTGCTGGAATATGAGAAACTCAAATAATATCAAACTCGGGTTCTTAAACTAAATAAGGAAAAAAAAGGTATGGTACTATTCTATATTTTGATTAGTTACCAAAATTGTAATTAGAGACAAGGAAACTTTATGATGTCGGATATCAAATTATAAAAAGGTTTTGAGACTCTATAAAGTCATAGGTATTAGCTGATGAGTTGATGATTTTACTTTTCATAATGATGGTTTAAATTAAACAAAAGAAAATGACATCAAAAGATTCTGATTTAAGAGACCTTGAAAAAAATCAACCTATTGGTAATGCAGATTCTAATTCAAATGGAATACAGAATCTGACAAGTAGATACTCAAATCATGATTCAAAAGAATTGAATGAAACAGTTCACCTGATTGATGAAGAAATTGAATTTCCTGAAGGTGGTTGGGAAGCTTATAAAGTTGTTGCTGGTGGATTTTTCACTTTAATGATTACATTTGGTTTAATGAATACTATTGGTGCTATCCAAGCATATTTAACAAATCATCAATTGAAAAATGAATCCTCAAGTACAATTGGTTGGACTTTTTCTATTCATTACTTGGTAGCTTATGCGTTTTGTTTAATTGCTGGTCCATTATTTGATTGGAAAGGTGGAAGATTATGTGCTATTATAGGTTCAATACTTTTAGTTGCTGGCCTATTCATTACTGCTAATTGTGATGAAGTTTACCAAATATTGTTAGCCTATGGTTTTATAGTTGGCAGTGGTACTTGTTTACTATATACAAGTGGGTTAGGCGCAGTTTCACATTATTTCAAAAGGAAAAGAGCAACAGCTTTAGGAATCTCATCTTTAGGTGGATCAGTCGGTGGTGTTGTTTGGCCTTTAATGCTTAGACAACTGTATCCAAAAATTGGTTATGTATGGAGTATGAGAGTTTTAGCTTTATGTTGTGGTATTTGTGCAAGTTTAGCATGTCTTTCAGTTAAAAGTAGATTAAAAAAGCAAAAAGAAGATGTAATTATTGAAAAAAATCCAATTAAATTTATGAATAGCTCATTAGCATTAAGAGATTTGTTTAAAGAAAAAAGATTCTTATATTTAACATTTTCAATTTTTTTTTGTGAATTTTCATTATTAATGGTTATGACGTATATAACTTCTTATACAATTCATCAAGGATATTCAGAATCACAGGGGTTCTTGGTACTTATAATACTAAATGCCATTGGATTATTAGGCCGTGTTATTCCAAAATATTTGGGTGATGTTTATGGAAGTTTTAATATAATGATTGCTACTGTTGGGTCATGTGCAATTTTCATATTGGCAATTTGGCTACCATTTGGTCATAATTTAAGTGTTTTATATGCATTTGCAGGATTATATGGGTTTTCTTCAAGCTCAACATTATCATTAACTCCAGTTACGTGTGGACAAATTAGTCGTACTGAAGATTTTGGTAAAAGATATGGTACAGTTTATTTCATATCTTCTTTTGGTAATTTATTAGCTTTACCAATAGGTGGTGCTTTAATTAAAGATGGTCCTAATGGATTTCAAAATTTTATCATATTAGCTGGTGTTACAGAAGTTGTATCAGTAGTGTTCTTTATACTTGCAAGATATGAATGTGTAGGAATGAAATGGGCTAAGATTTGATTTTGATGTTTGAATATTTTATGAATATTTATGAGGAAACAAATACAATATTTATTTAAATTGAAGAGAATTGGTTACTGTACTCTCATTGTATTGGTATATTATATTTTTCAGAATTTGATTAAGCCTGGGAAAACCAGATATGGTCTCATATAAAGGACTCAAACTTTCAGACCCAACAATTTTAACTCAGATAAAAGTTTAACTCAGATAAATCCTCAAAGAACTTTTAAACGTTAGAGCATAAAACTTGGGCTGAAATGACTGATGAATGCTCAAAAAGAACTTATAAGTATCTCTGAAAGTCCAACTTTCTCCTTTAATTGATCCTTTTCCCTTTGAAATTCTTTATAATCGTATAATAGCTTTAAATTAGTACAATGAATTTCCAAGGGACAAATGAGATCCATGCAAAGGTCAACTAGGAGGGAAATAATTGTAGTCAAAAACATGTACAAGTACAATCCACATTTCACTTTATTGAAAAAAACCCAACTCTGTTTACATTATGTGTTATTAATGCAGGTCATTATGATTACTCAGCTGTAGCACTGTGATTATATAATCGAAATTATGTACGCGGATTTTACTATATTCCGATAAAATCCGAAGAGTACCTCGAAGCTCATCTAGCTAAAAAGTTTTTTTGAAACTTATTTTAGTCACTTTTATAAACTTTCAAGATTATGAGATTAATGGAACCAATGCATATATTAAAGCGTTAATGTTACTTTATACTTCATGATGTGGTCGTATGTTTATCTCATGAAATGGAGCTAAGTTGAGGAAGATTGAGCTTGAAACATGAGCAGTTTGATGAGTTAATATTATCTGTTCAATGAAATTTCATTGGAGAAATATATATGGATATATAGTTCGACTTATTTTTAATTGTTTGTGTGGGCTTTATTAATGCTATCTCTGATTTTAACTTAGTTATACCAGTACGAAGAATATATATTATAACGCAGTTTCAAATGAATAGATTGTTCAATATTTTTACGTGGCTAGTTGATAACATAGATGATGAATTACGAGCCTACTATCGAGTCTTTGGATATAAGTTTTTACTTTATAACAAAGTTTACAGAAAAATATTTATTGGTTTATGAAGAATCAAGACAAAAATTTGGTATCCTATTAGATTTCACTTTTTAGATAAGATTAAAGGGATATTTAGTCTTCAAAAGTTGCCAGCTATATCTGATGAGATGCTTAAGCAATGCATAATAGATTTTAAGTATTCACAGAAACGTTTGAAGGAACGGTTTGTTCAGGAATCTCAGAAGCCAAATTTTCCTATGGAGATTTGGTATGAAATTTCAAAACATATGAACCCTGGGAAATTGATTAGAATCAATAAAAGCTTTTGTGATTTTTTCAGTCCTTTGATTTATAAAGATCTTCAAATGATTTTGGTGATCAGTGATACTATTCAGATACAAAAGAATGATCTTTCATATATGAATTATGGACCTGATTTCGTGGATAATAATATTGACGATTATGGGATATATTTAAGATATCGAGAAGGAAAGAATTTTGCTTATGAATTTCTTGATACTACATTAAGGGATGAAGTGGGATTGAAAGCTGATCATTTTGAAGTTATTTACAAATTTAGTGAGGTCAAGCACATCTTGATCCATATTGTTAATAATCCAAGCTCTTATTTAAAGAGATACGTTGAGCAGGTTAAGTTGGATGTTTCGTTGTTAAGTGCTTTCAGTGGAATAAATTTAAAAAATGGAGAAGGTATTCTACATAATAAGGTCAAATATGAATATAAAAACTTAGATCACTGTTCAGTGCTTTCATACTATCCTAAATACTTGATATTCTGTTTTACCGTTTTGGATTGGTATACGAGCTGTCGATGGCAACTACCACATTTAGCACCTTTAAATAGAGACTTTAACAATCCATCTTTTATAGATCCAAAAATAACTAGAGATATATATCCTAATAATGTTTATATGAAGGAACTTATGCTAACAACATTACTTCATGATTTCATTAGAGATAAATCAAAGAAAAGGAATAGAAATAAGTTGGCACTTTTGAAAAAAGGTCAGATTCTAAAGAAATTGACACCATTTGAAATTTGGCACAGAAGAACAAAAGGCATGCCTTTGGTATTTCGTACCCTTGATGAGATGAAGTTACGCAAAACCGCTAGATATCAATCTATATTGATTATTGAAGAAAGATGTTTCGAGACTAAGGAGTTCACTGAGACTCTTTTGATCAACACATTGAGCTCCATAACTTCGAACGAATTAAACGGAGGAATCAATTGTTCAATGAGCTTCCTTGGACAAAACCTCCCTCATGAATCTACTTCTCTTGTACCTGATAATCGTATAAGAATTTCCACACTAAAGTTCACTCAACCAGATTTTGTTGTGATCAACAAACCAAAGAAAAATTGAATGCTGAATAAATGAATTACGAGTTTGGTCTTGTATATTGTTATAAATTGTAAATCTGACCGTTGCTTATCTATATGCGGAAATACGATCCCGAGATGTGGAGCGATAAGTCAACAGTTTTAAACTCATCGATATCCTGATTCCTGGTGAAAATTTATAACAATAATCTGTGTAAATAATGAGCTTCAAAGTGATCAAAGTGATAATAATAGTATGAGTCGCATGGAAAGTATCAAAGAGGCCACTTATATAGTGAGTGAACAGGGTCGTACAAGACCAGAATCCATAGAACTAGATTTCATTCCAGAGTTGGGTACTTCATCAGCATTGGGTCATAGCACCATAAGAAAAGATCAAGATTTCACAGAACAGGCTATAGAGAAAGCACAAAATGAAGATGGTGATGATGTTTCTATCCTAGATGATGACTTAACATTCCCAGATGGTGGGTTAGAAGCTTATCTGGTTGTATTAGGAGCCTTGTTATCATTGATTATTACATTTGGTTTAATGAATTCAATTGGTGGTATTCAAGCTTATATTTCAAATCATCAATTATCAAATATTGAAAACCAAAGCTCTACAGGATGGATTTTCTCAATTTATTATTTTTTTGCTTTTGGTGGTGTTATTTTAACAGGTCCTTTATTTGATTACAAAGGTGCTAAAATCCCCATGATTTCTGGTTCCTTGTTAATTTCAATTGGTTTATTTGCAACTGCAAATTGTTCCCAGATTTATCAATTTATATTAGCATTTGGTGTTACTGTGGGTATTGGGACTAGTTTCTTGATGAGTTCTGCATTAGGTGCAGTAGCTCATTGGTTTGGGAAGAAAAGAGGTACAGCTTTAGGTGTTTGTTCAATCGGAGGTAGTTTAGGTGGTGTATTATGGCCATTAATGTTGAAAGAATTATATCCCAAAATTGGATATGCTTGGACCATGAGAGTGTTAGCTTTCTTGGGGACTTTTTGTCTTGGTATGGCATGTTTATTGGTTAAACATAGATTAATTAAACCTTCAAATGAAGTTATCAAATCCCCAAGGCAATTGTTTCAAAATTCATTTGTATTGAAACAATTCATTACAGAGAAAAGATTCTTATATATGGGGATTTCAATTTTCCTTTGTGAAGTTTCATTATTGTTTGTTACAACTTATTTAAGCTCATATACAATTCATCAAGGTTATTCTGAATCAGATGCATTCTTAGTTTTAATAACATGTAATGCTGTCGGAATCTTGGGTAGATATTTCCCAAATCATATTGCTGATCATTTTGGTAGGATAAATGTCATGGTAATAACAGTGGGAGTTTGTAGTTTATTAATCATGGTGTTATTATATCCATTTGGAAATAATTTGAAAACAATATATGCATTTTCAGGACTTTATGGGTTCTTTTCAAGTTCAACATTATCATTGACACCAGTATGTTGTGGACAAATAAGTAAAACAAAAGATTTTGGTAAACGTTATGGAACTATTTATTCATTAGTTTCCATTGGAAATTTGATTTCATTACCTGTTGGTGGTGCTATAATAAGTTCAAGTGGGGATGGTTACAAAAATTTGATATTATTAGCTGGTATTACTGAAATTCTTGCATTATTAGCATGGTTAATTACAAGATACTATTGTGTTGGTATGAAAGTCATGTGTAAAGTCTGAGTAAATTATAATGAACAAATTTATATCTATTTATACCAAATATATCATAATTGTGGTACTGCAGCACCATCAGCACGTTGATCAGAACCAGCTGACCAGATTAATCCCTCACCAGGTTCTTTTCTAATAATTTGACCTCTACCAAATGCCTTTCTATCATATCCTTCAACAACAACAACATGATGACCTAATTTTCTTAAACCTTCAACGACTTCTTCACTTATACCTTGTTCAACATTAACTTCCGTAACATGTCTACTAACTGGACCATGAGATCCATGACCTTCGTCAGTATGCCCCAATTTTGGATGCGGTTGTAAAGTAATTCTTGGTGCATCTAAAGCTTCTTGTGGATTTAATCCAAAGAGTAATAAGTTTAAATAAACTTGAATATGTGCTTGTGGTTGATTATAACCTCCCATGATACCATAACTTGCATAAAGATCTTCTTTACCTTGGTCCAATGGTGTTGTAATCAAACCTGGGATAATTGTATGATAACTTCTCTTGTTACCTTCTAAATAGTTCTTAGAATTTGGATTCAAACTAAAATTTGCACCTCTATTTTGTAAGAAAAACCCACGATCTGGAACTAGGATACCACTACCATAATTCATAAAGACACTATTAATAAATGAAGCTGCATTTCCTTCACTATCAGTAACTGTGAAATAAACTGTATCAGATTTAAAAATTCTATTTGGTAATTCACCAACTTGTAAATCTTTATTATCTAATACCGAATCTGCTTTAAAATATTTAGATCTTTGATCAAAATATTTATCACTTAACAATTGTTCAATAGTTTCTTTTTGATCAATACCAAATTTGGATAATAAATGATCTGAATCACTAACATATTCTTCACTATCTTTAAAACTTAATTTCAAGACTTCAATGATTAAATGTAAATACTCAACAGAATTATGTTTCAATTTTGATAATTCAATGACACCTTTTGAATCTAAATTCTTGATAAGACCCAATGATAATAATGCAATGATACCTGATCCATTTGGTGGAATTTCCCAAAGTTTTTTACCCAAGAATTCATAAGATATTGGATCAACAAATGTCGATGTATGATTAGCTAAATCTTCTAAAGATAATAATCCACCACGAGATTGAACCTCTTTAACAATAGATTCTGCAACTTCACCTTTATAAAACCCATCTTTACCATGTTGAGCAATCAATTTCAATGTTTTTGCCTTATACTTATTCTTAACTAATTGTCCTTCAATTGGTGCAGTTAATCCTTCATTTGGTAAGAAAGCACCTAATTCATTTTGTAAGAAATCTTGAGATTTATCACCATTAACTTTTTTCAATCTTGATTCACTATTTTGAACTAAATGTGCACTAATTTCAGAAATTGGATAACCGTTTTCAGATAATTCAATAGCAGGTTGTAAAATTTCTTCAAATGAAACTTTACCAGACCCCCATTTCTTCACAGAATCATACCATGCAGCAATTCCACCTGGGACATTAGCAGTAAAGATAGATTCAGAGCTTAATCTATAATTATTAACAATATCTTGAGGATAATTTTTTTTAATATAATCAACAGATAATTTTGAAGCAGATCTACCAGTCCCATTTAATCCATAAGCCTTTTGATCTTTAGCATTATAAAAAATGGCATAAGCATCACCACCAAGATCTGTGGAAGCAGTTTCTGTCACAGTAAGAGCAGCAGCAACGGCAACAGCAGCATCAATGGCATTCCCACCTTTTTCTAATATTTTCAAACCTGCTGCATTTGCTAATGGTTGTGAAGATGATACGATCCCTTTTGTTGAATAGACAACTGATCTTCTTGAATTGAACTTAGGATTGGGCATTATTTGTTTTCTTGATTGAATATGTGATAATTGATCCAAGATTTAAGACCCCTTTTCATGTTATAAACAGGAGATTCTTATTGTTTTTATATTCTTTTATACCTCTTTATCTTCCTTTCAAGTTGTCGGCTCGATAACTAAATGAGTAAGAAGCCCCATCGGACCGTAAATCAGCCGTTTTTGGCCTATTTTGTCGGATGCGTTCCGACGCGTGGAGAAAGGTTCCTCATTTTCCGCGAATTATTTCTTTACTATTGTGTATAAACTTTGAAATTTTGAAACTTTGTGGAGGAAATTAACGGATATGAACCGATTTGGAAGGAGATTTTGTTTGATAAGATCTTTCAAGGGGTTATTATAAAAGTTATAGATCTAAGGTTCTAAGTGATTGTTGATTGAATATGTCTACAGCCAAAGGTCGTAAAATTGCAGGGTTCATTGGTGGATTAAGTGGTCTTGTAGTTGGTATATGGTTCTTTACAAAAAATTATGAATTAGTTAAATTTACACCACCAGAGAGAAATCCAGATGGTTCATTAAAACCTAAAAAGTTTAAGGTAACTTTCCAACCAACATCTCCATTAAAATTGAAACCTGAAGTTGAAGCAAAACAAAAACAAGCAATTAAGGAGAAATATCTTTCAGGGAAAATGACTGAACAAGAAAAAAATGAATATGAACAGATACTTCAAGAACCAACAAATTATTAATCCAGTATGATTAACAATATGATGACAACATCTCTTTATTCATATATATATTTATTAATGAAATGATATGCAAAAGGTTTTATATCTACACCTGTAAAGTTTTTTTTTATTGATTTCCTATAATTGAAAAACATACACACAAAAAATAAAAGAATAATACACAAAACTTTAATAAAAGGTTTTGGTAAATAAACCCTTTTCAAAAACAATATAAAAACGTTAAAAAAAAGAAGATAAACAAAAAATCCAGGTGGTATATCAAAATATTAACTGGAGTTTTAAATCAAATCTCTTTTATAAAGAAAAACATAAAATTTTGGAAACATAAACAACTAAAGCATTGATCTAATAACAAATCTAAATTTTTTGATTAAATTTAAGCTTGTTCTTCTTCAGTTTGTTGTTCACCACCAGATTTTTTGAAATCTTCATAAGCTTGGAATGCATCATCAAAATGTTGTTTGAATAATTCTTCATTTTCTAATAATGATAAGATTTCTTGGTTTTCTAAATCTAACATCATACCAGTAATTTTACCAGCAGATTCTGGATCTTGAGCTTTACCAGTTGAAACAATTCTTTGGTATAATTCTTCACCTAATAATCTTTTTTGTTGTTCAACTGGAACATTTGGTAAGATTGAAGCTAATTGAGCAACGTTACCAGCACCTGGTTGAGCATTTGGATCAATTGGAGCAGCATTTGGAGCTGGACCACGACCACCTTGGTTTCTTGGACCATTACCACGACCACCACGGAATCCACCTCTACCACCTTGAGGGAATTGTTGGAATTCTTGTGGTAAACCATAAGCTGGTTGACCTGGACGACCACCAACCCATTGACCACCAGCAGCTTGTGGTGGTAAACCTTGACCTGGTCTTGGAATTAAAAATGGTTGATTTGGTAATGGACCTCTAGCACCTGGTGGTAAAAATTGAGGTTGTTGACCATAAATGAATGGAGTTGGAATGAATTGACCTGGTAATCCACCGGCAGCAGCAGCTTGTTGTAATCTTAATTGATTTCTAGCTTGAATTTGTTGTTCTAATTGAGAACGTCTAACATCTTTTCTTTGAGCTAAGGCAACGTATAATGGTTTACCAGCTAACATATGTTGATTCATTTCAGAAATAGCTCTTGAAGCTTCTTCTGGAGAAGAGAATGAAACGAAACCAAAACCTTTAGATTTACCAGATTCATCAATCATAACTTTAACTGAAGAAATAGTACCGAATGATTGGAATTCTTCTTTTAATTTTTCATCATCAATTGAATCATCCAAGTTTTTAACAAATAAGTTAACACCTTGAGATTTTGTTAATTTTTCAATTCTTGCAGCTTCATATTGTTTTTTCAATTCTTCTAATCTTTCAGATTTCTTTTGAGCACGACCAACGTATAATTTTTTACCTTTATAATCTTGATCATTTAATGATTCAATAGATTTAACAGCAGCTTCATGTTCTTCATAGTTAACAAAAGCAAAACCTCTTGATTTACCTTCAGCATCTTTTTCTAAATAGAATGAAGTAACAGTACCAAATGGAGTGAATAATTCTTTAACTTCTTCTTCTGAGGCTTCTAAATCAATGTTTTTAACATAAACATTTGTGAAGGATTTAATAACTTCTTCTAATTTTGATTGACGATCTCTTCTTGCAACATGAGGACCAACATAAACTTCATTGTTGTTTAATAACATACCGTTAACATTTTCAATAGCGGCTTGAGCAGCTTCTGGGGATTCGAAATGAACGAAACCGAAACCTTTTGATTGACCAAAGTTATCAGTGGCAACTTTACAAGATAAAATTCTACCAAAAGCTGAGAAAGTATCATGTAAAGCTTTGTTATCAATAGCTGGATGTAAGTTTTTAATGAAAACATTACCTTCACCATTTCTTCTTTTAGCAGGATCACGTTGAGACCACATGATTCTAATTGGTTGACCTTTAACAACAGAGTAGTTTAATTCATCAATAGCTTTTTCACCATCTTTAACATTATGATAGTTAACATAAGCATAACCTAAAGATCTTTTGGTTAAAGCATCACGACAAACTCTGATTGAAGAAACTTGACCAATTGGAGAGAAAATTTCGAATAATAAAGCTTCATTGATTGATGGTTCTAATTCACCAACGTATAAAGAAGCAGTGGTTTCAGAAACTGAAGAAGATGAAGCTTGTTCACCTTCAGCGGTTGATTCAGTAGCACTGGTGGATGGGGCGGTTGAAGATTCAACGGTTGAAGATTCTTGATCCTTGTTGATGTTCAAGTTTTCTAATTCATTGACAGTTTTATCAACAGCATCAACGGTGTTTGAAGACATTTTTGGTGATATGATATGGTTTTTTTTTAATAGTTTTTTCTAATTTTTTTTGGTTTTTTTAAAAGTTTTTGAAAAAAATGACTTTTTTAAATGGAAGAAAGAGAGGTACGGACTAGTTGGGGAATGAACGTAGACCAGATCTTTTCAAACGAGATAAAAAAAGCTTTTAAGTGTGTTGTGTGATATAAGAAACCTTTGATTTGAAGTTTTAGTTAAAAAAAGTGTTGATTATTTTTTTTTTTTCAATATAAAAATTTTCGACCACCAAACGAAAAAAAAAAATTTGTTGGTCGCGAATTTTTTTTTGATTGATAAAACGAATTCGCGGGAAATCAATGATTATGTAATGATGAGGTAGTCTAAAATGTTTATATAATCAATATTATTATAAACTTCTCAATTTTATATTAGCATGAATTCCTATCAAAATGTTTTATTTTATGGGTATTGTCATATTAATAATGAAGTATCCTAGTATAACACAATGTGGAATGGTTATGATCAAGAAATGAGAGCAAGATATCAAAGAAGCAAGAGTATCAGAAGAGAACGGATCAAACAAGTGTGTCAAGTTAATGATCCTGTTCTCAATCTTAGCTTTGATATGATCAAAGAAGCTAATACCATTGATGGTGATTATACAAACCATGATTATCTTCATCAAGTGGAAAGTATTTATAGGTTATTCCAACTCTCATCTGAAGATGAAGACAGTATTAGAAATGGAGATTTGGTACTCACATATGATGAAAGTATATATAATAAACTTTCATGGTTTAACATGTCAATGGCAAAACCTGAGACGTTGTTAATAAATCCATTATTAGATCTCAATAATTCATTCATAGAAAGTTTAATTAGGAAATTATTCGCAAATGAACATGATCGGGAAATTTGTCGTCAAGATCCATATGTTAAACTATTCACAAATCCATCACAACCTTTAAGAAAAAATAAATTACTGAATTATCATAGAAATGTTGTCATATCACAATGTTCTGAAATTCCTTTGATTGAAATATCTAAAGAATGTAATGAATTTTTACAAGATTCTAACGAGGTGCAAGATGTTATTGAAATAGGAGAATGTATTTCATCACTTTGGTATTCACCTAGAGACATTTTAGAAGCTAATAGTTTTAATGCATCAAAAGAAAGCATTGAACAATACACATTTTTAAACGAGAATTTCATGTCAATGAAAGATAAATCTATTCAAACTCGAATTGAAAAATTAACCAGAAAACTTTGTGGTCAATTAAGTTCATTATCAGGGGTTGATATATCATCGAAAATATTAGATATTTGTTATGGTGTTAATCTAACAATGCATAAATTGAATAAGAATTATAAATATTTAAGCTTTTTCCGAAAACATTTTGACCAAAGAAATTATGATTTGAATTCTTGCCTTGGTGAATTAATTAATCATAGATTGGAAAATACAGATATCAAAGTGAGCTCGGGACAACTTTTCACCATGATAGGAAATGACATGATGATTGAAACAACAAGGTATAAATATTTACAAGATGATTTTATTAAGTTTATTAATTCAACTGTTAGGGAACAGATTTCTTTAAAAGAATTTAAAGTTATTCGTAATTTGATTAAACAAGCAATTTTATATTGTAAACAATCAAATTCCACAATTGTTGTTATATCTAATTTATCAACAATGATAATTTTGGAATTAGATATTAATGGATGTGAATTAATTAATGTTGATGAAGAAAAATTATTTGATGTTAAACTAAGATATAGAATGATAAATTTGGAAGATCAATACTTAACTATGAGATGGGAATTTGTTTATTTGTTTAAACAACTCGGTAAAGAAATCGATCAAAATGTTAAGGATGAATTATTGATTCAATTTCTTTGGAAATTTCAGATAAGTGATAATGAACGATTACAGAATAAAAAAGCAGTGAATAAGGGTGATAAACTTCCAAATATCAATGAAGGCTCAATTGATAATTTCATAACAAGACCTTTACCCAAAATTTTCTCAAACATTGATTTTTTCCATCGAGTTTCAAAACATGAATCTATGTATAATACCAAAAAAATGGTTGTTATACATCAAAATGTTAAAAATGCATTTGGTTATGAAATTGAAGGGATTCCATTAGATAAAAAAATGATCTTAAAAGTATATAAAATAGATTTACCAGCTTTCGATAAACTTGAAGATGAAATTCAACATGGTGCTTTTGAAAAAGAAGTCAAGTCTTTAGAATTTATCAACAAGCATAATTTAAAATGTGAAAAAGAAGGATCAAAAGATGCTATAGTTAATGTACCAAAGATCTATAAGCATTTTATAATGAACTTGAAAAATTCCGAAACGAAGCTTTCTGAATTACACGGATATGCCATATTAATGGAAAAGATTGAACATGTTGATATTTGTTTGAATCCTATAATTGAAGATACACCATATCTCCAAGATTTAGAAAGACAAGTATTAGTGATGGAGAGCTTGGGAATTAAACATAACAATCTAGAGGAATTAGGGAACGTGGTTCTAGATATGAATATGAAACCTTTTATATTAGATTGGGGGTTATCAGAGATTAATCAAGAATCTTGAATATGGTTTATTCTTTATATGTCTAATCACGTGACCTAGCTTTAAAATTTGATATAATTGTAACATTTAAAAGGGTAAACCCTCATGAAAATACCACCATTCTAATTCCCATAACTTTCTCTACAACATGAACACATTCACAAACCCATAACTCCCTTCAAAAACAACTTACTTCCAACCAGCCAATCAAAACCGCACAATTTGTCAAACATTTCGCGAATTTACGCGAATTCCGCGAACGTTTTTCTGGTTTCAGCAACAAAGCGATTTTTTCTATCAAAAGAAAAAAAAAATTTTGCTAAAATAAACACCAAAAAAAAAATAAAAAAAATTGTTTCAAAACAATAAAGGACAACTTTTTTCAATATTATCAGGATTTAAAAGGACTTATAAAAAAGGAATTGATTTAGTTCAATATAACTAGGAGGTGAATATCTGAATATAGAGCTTTAAAGAAAGATAGTTGCCTGCCTAAATTTTTCCAAAAATGAGTTCCAAACAAATGCGTATCGCTATTGTTAGTGATGATAAATGTAAACCAAAAAAATGTCGTCAAGAATGTAAAAAATCATGTCCTGTTGTTAAAACTGGTAAATTATGTATTGAAGTTACACCAACAAATAAAATTGCATTCATTTCAGAAACTTTATGTATTGGTTGTGGTATTTGTGTTAAGAAATGTCCATTTGGTGCTATAAATATTATTAATTTACCAACAAATTTAGAAAAAGAAGTTACTCATCGTTATTCTGCAAATAGTTTTAAATTACATAGATTACCAACTCCAAGACCTGGTCAAGTTTTAGGTTTAGTTGGTACTAATGGTATTGGTAAATCAACTGCTTTGAAAATTCTTGCAGGTAAACAAAAACCAAATTTAGGTAGATTTGATGATCCACCTGATTGGCAAGATATTTTAAAACATTTTAGAGGTTCTGAATTACAAAATTATTTAACTAAAGTTTTAGAAGATGATATTAAAGCTATTATTAAACCTCAATATGTTGATAATATTCCAAGAGCTATTAAAGGTCCAGATACAAAAGTTGGTCAATTATTAAAAGCAAGATTAGAAAGAAAAGATTCAATTAAACAAATCTGTAATGTTTTAGAATTAAATCATATTTTGAAAAGAGATGTTAATGCATTATCTGGTGGTGAATTACAAAGATTTGCTATTGGTATGACTTGTGTTCAAGATGCTAATGTTTATATGTTTGATGAACCTTCTTCATATTTAGATGTTAAACAACGTTTAAATGCTGCTTTAATCATTCGTTCATTATTACATGCTCAATCTTATGTTATTGTTGTGGAACATGATTTATCAGTTTTAGATTATTTATCAGATTTTGTTTGTATTTTATATGGTATGCCATCAGTTTATGGTGTTGTTACATTACCTGCTTCAGTTAGAGAAGGTATTAATATGTTTTTAGATGGTCATATTGTTGCAGAAAATTTAAGATTTAGAACTGAATCTTTACAATTTAGATTAGCTGATGCTCAAGATGCTATGCAATTAGATGCTTCAAGATATTATTCTTATCCTGCAATGTCAAGAACTCAAGGTGATTTCAAAATTCATATTGAAAAAGGTGAATTTAGTGATTCAGAAATTTTAGTTATGATGGGTGAAAATGGTACAGGTAAAACTACATTCTGTAGATTATTAGCTGGTGCAATTCCTGCAGATAATGATTTAGAAGTTCCAAAATTAAATATTTCAATGAAACCACAAAAAATTGCACCAAAATTTACAGGTACAGTTAGACAATTATTTTTTAAAAGAATTAGAGCTTCATTTTTACATCCACAATTTCAAACTGATGTTTGTAAACCATTAAAAATTGATGATATTATTGATCAAGAAGTTCAACATTTATCAGGTGGTGAATTACAAAGAGTTGCTATTACATTAGCATTAGGTGCTCAAGCTGATATTTATTTGATTGATGAACCTTCAGCTTATTTAGATTCTGAACAACGTATTATTTGTTCAAAAGTTATTAGAAGATTTATTTTACATGCTAAAAAGACAGCTTTCATTGTGGAACATGATTTTATTATGGCAACTTATTTAGCTGATAGAGTTATTGTTTTTGAAGGTCAACCATCAAAAGAAGCATTTGCAAGAGAACCAGAATCTTTATTAACTGGTTGTAATAAATTTTTGAAAAATTTAAATGTTACATTCAGAAGAGATCCAAATTCTTTTAGACCAAGAATTAATAAATTAGATTCACAAATGGATAAAGAACAAAAATCTCAAGGTAATTATTTCTTTTTAGATAATTCTGAATTATAAAGGGCGTTCAATTAAATTATTTTGAAAAATTTCAAAAAAAAAAATTTGAAATTTATCCAATTAATTATGGACGCCTCATTAGTATTGCATTTTTTTTAATGTTTAATTATTTATTATGGGGCATTTTGTTTTTATTGATTTATTATAATTATTTGGTTTAATCATTATTATAGAAACGGGTTTTAACATTTTTCATTTAAAGTTTTTGAAAGATTCAAGAATCTAGTCATATTGTTTTCTTTTTTGGTACTGGAAATGCAAACAAGGTTTGTCATTTTTCAGATGTATAATAAATTGTTCTAATTCATTCTTTGGTGTTCTCTTATATATGTGATATATTAAAGAAAAATGAAGTTTGTGGCCTTTCAAGGTTATATATATTCAAGGAAAATGAGTATTCAATCTCTTTCTTCATGGTTTTAGACAATATAAATAGGATAATAAAAGTTATGTAAATTATTAATTATTGATTTTTGTAGATTTTTGTATGAATTTTTGATATATCACCTATATGGTTGTTGCTTCTACCATATTACTAATTTCGAGACAAAATGACGAGGACATAAAGATCTTGAAATATATAAATTTTGATCAAAGAACAAATTTAACAAAGATCCATACGTTATATTCATCGTTTGATCTGACAGTTATATCAATATACTAGTCTACTCATCAAATAGGCCATATTTCCGAAGAAAAGCACAACAAAATAACATGACAATAGAGCAAAAACCACTTTGGGTACTTGGATATGGTTCATTAATATTTAAACCACCTCCACATGCTAAATATGTGATACCTGGAGTTATTCATGGATATACAAGAAGATTTTGGCAATCATCATCAGATCATAGAGGTACCCCGGAGCATAAGGGAAGAGTTGTTACATTAATTCCATATGATGATATAAAGACAAGAGAAGAATTTATAAAAGATTTATATAAATATGAAGAAAATTTACATGATGAATTCCATAAAAATGATTTAAAAGTTTGGGCATGTGCTTATTATATCCCTGCAGAATTTTCTCAAGAAGTTACTGAATATTTAAATGTTAGAGAACAAGATGGCTATACTATACATAATATTCCATTCTTATTACATCATGATCCATTAATACATAATCAATCAGAATTAGTTGAAGCTATAAATCAATTACCAAAGGACCATTTGACGGGGAAACATGTCTTAACAAGTGTTGTATATATCGGTACAGTGGATAATGAAAGTTTTATAGGACCAGAGACCATTGAAGATACAGCTAATGTTATAAGTGAAGCCCAAGGTCCAAGTGGTGCAAATTGGGAATATCTAGAGAAATTATATCATTCATTAAAAGAGCTAGATAAGAATGGGAAAGATAATTATTTAGAGAAATTGGTGGAAAAAGTCATTGAAGTTAGAAAAGAGAAAGGCATAGACCTCAGTTGATATAGAGATGTATATATAACTTATAATTGAACCGAGATCTCATTTGATCTTGATGTTAATGTAGATGTTTTGTTATATATCGAAAGATCCGCGAAAAGCCTATACACCTTTATGATTTCGCTTTGAGTTTCAACAACCCTTGTTCATATGGTCCTTATATCTCAGAATAACCAAAGCCATCTTAAAATGAAGCTGTTAAGCCTTTTCTCACTGTGCTTAGCTGGTTGTTCAGCACTAGGTGTTATATACGAAGGGTTCTATTACACAGGACCAAAAGAACTAGAGACTGTTCGTATTATAAATGGAACTGTTTTTAATGCAAATGATGAAAATTACTATTTAGAAAATGTTGGAAGGTTCATTATTCACAATGAGACAGATGGAAGCACATATTATGACTTTACTGAGTTGGCTCAAGCTGAAAATCTCGATAGTGATGAAACTGCTTTTAATACTTATCTAATTAGAATTGCTGCTGGTACTATAGGAGGCTTGATTACTGCTAAACCATGGCCACCAAGAGGGACTGATTCAGAGACAGAGGACCAAAAATAATAATGGAAATGACTATGTATCGTTATTTCACATATAATTGACACAATATTGATGTGACATAATGATATAATACCTTCTTGAGATCTGTAGAATGACAACTAAATTGAGATCAAAGCAGTACATTCGACAATGCCATCCAAGATCCGTCTCATAATAAAACCATTAAATGGAACCACTTTCCAACCTTTCTTCAACCATGTCAACGTCGTTATAACTTATCAAACAGACGATCAATTATGACACATTTCTTAACATCTTGTCTATATACCAGCGCACTGTCCTTCCTAAAAGGGAAGCTCTAGCAGGTAGTAGTTTACTATGGCCGTCGTAAAGTTGGCCCTACCGACTGATAACACTTAAAAAAATCATTATTAGTCAATTTGCACATGAAAAGCTTGATTTTATTAACGGTGGAAAAGTTTTGTTTCATATTGAGATCGTTTAAAAGTATTAGAATCTCGTGTTTTTACTGAAAGGGAAAGTCAGATGCTTGATTTATTTGCTCGTGTGTGTACTATAAGAATAATCATATATAAGTGAGAGGATATCCCATAATTGTTGGTTCGTGTGTTCAGTGTGCATGGGTAAGATTATTGCTGCTATAGATTGAAAAAAAAATTCATTGAATATATATAATATGATTAGTGATAAAGCTGCTACAGTATTAGGAACTTTAGGTACAGTATGTTGGTGTATTCAACTTATACCTCAAGTTTATTATAATTTTAAAAGAAAAAATTGTGAAGGTTTCCCACCATTAATGATGTTTCTTTGGGCATTTTGTGGTATCCCATTTGCAATTTATTTTATATCAACAAGAGGTAATGTTTCTGTTCAAGTTCAACCTGAAATTTTTTTTTGTTTTTGTACAATTGCATGGATACAAACTCTTTATTATCCACCTATACAAATGAATTGGAAGAAAATTGCTATGATGATTATTCCATTTATTTTATTTGCAATTGGTGCACAAGTTGGATTTATATTATGGTTAAGACCTTTATATGATCGTGGTATAAAATGGCCAACTTTAATCTTTGGTATATTAGCTTCAGTTTCTTTAGCTTTAGGTTTATTACCACCTTATTTTGAATTAGCAAAGAGAAGAGGTCGTGTCGTGGGGATAAATTTTTGGTTTATTGGTATTGATTGTCTTGGTGCATTTTTATCCATGCTTTCAGTTGTTGTTGGGAATATGGATATATTAGGTATAGTATTATATTGTATTTGTTGTGCATTAGAAATTGGGATATTTTTAAGTCATTTCATATGGTGTTTAAGATTCAAATGGTTAAATAAAGATTATCAAGATGAATTAGAAGGTGATATTAAAGAAGAAGATATAGGATTAGATAATGAAAAAACTGCCAATAAAAAAGATGCAGATTATACAGCTACTAGTAATAATAATAGTGATGATAAAACTGAAGATGAGGTGATTGAATCTGATATAACGGATAAAAAATCACAAAATTAAGTATATAATGATACAATATATATAGATTAACGACCTAAAATATTACTGCACGACTTGTAGCGAAGTATAATTATAACATCTATAATGTATTGGTTTATATAAATATGCAAATAAATAATATAAATAACAGGTTGTGTATATATCACAATCTTTTAATAGTAGATCTCCAATAATGAACCTCGTAATCTTCAGGCCAATCCCATGTAGGTGCTTGTTCTAAATCAATATTTGAATCATCAGTATCATCTTCTAAATCATTTGATTCATTTTGTAAAACTTCTAAATGTGTCTTTGCATGTTTAATTATAACTTCAGCAAACCCATCAGGCATTGAAGCTAATAACATTGCAATAGTTTCTCTTTCAGGTATAATTTTCAAATCTTCCCAAATTCCAATAATTTCACCAATTTCATCTTGATAATCACATTGACCTAATAACTTGATATAAGGCTTCCAAATTGAATTTGATGGTATAATAACACCTTGTGCATCATCAATTTTCTTTTTACAATGTTTCCTAAATTCATGAACTGCAATTTGTGATGCATATCTATTATCCCAAATTAATGATTTTCCAAATTTATAAGCTGGTAATATTAATGAAATCAAACAATTTTCATTGGGGATCCCATCACAATGGGTTTCTAATAATCTTTTATATAAATCATATGAATTATGTGGATTATGATATGATTCACATAATAAAACTTCACCAATAATGGATCTTGAAGGTTCAGCTAAATGTTGAAAAATATTTCTTGCATAATCAGATCCAGTATCATATATCTTAAATTGATCTTTTGACTTGTATAAACTTCTTATAATTGATGATAATCTCTTATTACTATATATTGAAGTACCCGAATTGAAAATTGTAGAAACTGATTGATATTTTTGTAATATTGCTTTTGCTTCATCAATTTGTTGTTCATTAATTTCAGATTCACTTAATGCTTTAGTGAAAATTTCAGAGTTTTCCTTGTTTAATAATTCAAAATCATCAAGACCTTTGAATAATTCATGCCATAAAGTTGAATCTTTTGATAATGATTCATTAGTTATTTCATCATCAAAACTTTGCATTAATGATTGTGGTGATTTACTTAGTTGAAGCTTGATTATACTGGCTAATTGACGTTCTTCTTTAGTCTGGAGTTCTTCATTCATAGCAAAATTATAAAATTTAGCAGATCTTTTAGATGATAATGATAATAAACTATATGAAATACCCAAATATCCCAATGGTGAAATCTTCAGTTTATTTTCAAGTAAGAAATCTACCAAGACCCTTTGTGCACTTAAGATGAATAATTTATGATCCCTACTATTTTTAGATTCACCAACTCCTGCCATTAATGAAATTAATCTATTAACTTTATCTTTGTTACCCATTGATTTAATGGACAGAATTATTTGTGCTAGCTCAGGCAATTTATGTGGTTTGAATCTTATACCATAAAAAATCATATTCTCTACCACAATCATAGGAACTCCAGCTGCATTTGAACTTTCAGCATATTGTTTGAATAAATAATATATTAGATCAAATTCATATTCAGATCTTGGTAGTCTTGAAATTATATCCTCTAAAACAAAATTTGGTAAGTTTGATTGACCTTCGATAGCGAAACACGAGTCAGTAATATTTGATGCCAATATACTAGAGATCCATTTCATGATATCTTCCAAGTTTTGGTTTGAGACTAAATGTGATTTAACAGCAGTGTATACCAATTCTATATTTCCCTTCAGACCATTATGTACTACTTTTGTATATAGTTCAGAGCTACCTCCAGTATATAAATTGATAAGCTGTTGTGTATCTTTTGTTAATTTGTCTTTGGGGATTGAATTATTAATGTCTGATCCTATCAAACGTGGTATATTGTAAGATATATGATTGACTTCCTTGGGTACTCTTTCAACAGATCCAAAAGCTGATGCATAGTGTAATAAATGCATTAGTAATATGAATAATTTACTCAGACTTTCCACTTTTTGATGTGACTTTATATCCAATCGAGTCTCACCCACTTCGTTATAATGCTGTAGTATATTTCTCTTGAAATGATCAATTGTAATTAGTGACCTCCTTGGATTAACTTTTTCATGGATCTTATTCCTTTGCCTTATAAGCATGCACAAGTCACCATATGGGATTCCTTCTTTCAGATTTTTCAATTCTTTAGTTGTCTTTTCTAAATGATTCATGGTGAAGTCTCGTCGGCTAATATATGTAGTACGAGACCAAATCTTTGACAGCAGTATCCCACCATTTTTCCTGCAAAAAAGCATTTTGTGTAGCTGATTTTAATCCCTTTCTCTTAGGAAATGTCACACCCTCAACCAAATATTAATCTCAGCCCTTAAAACCTTCAATTAGTCACTGATTTGTCCCTGTTTTGGTGGAAACAATAGGAAACCTCCACAAAATTTGGCTTTCGAGACAATCTATAAAATGCGCGGGGCAACATCTATCTAAATTCCGCGAAAAAGCACTTTTGTCATAATGATCAAGATTTCAATTTTATACGATTTTAATAAATCAATTGTATGCCATCATCAAGATTTCAAAGGCTTTTGACGATTGTTGAAGAGAATTCAAGACAATCACAGTGTGTAATTTGCTGTTAAGGGATGCCTGGAGTGCCAAGGGAGTATCTGGGGCTCATGAGAGATGCCATCAAGGACTCAAGCAATTCGCCATCGGGCCAAAGACCGTTAAAGCGCAGAAGAAGAAATAGACAGAACATTCCTGGTCAAATGGGTAATGATGATGTAAATGGAAACTCAGAATCACAAGGAAGCTCATTATCTGAACCGATCACCATAGACGATTCAACACCAGAGGTTAAAGAAGAGGGTCAGAGTCAGGTAACACCGAAAGCCAGTAGCAATGCTAGTCCCAACCCTCAATCATTTATAGATCTATCAGATATAGACAAAACACCTGAAGTTGCTAAAATTATCACATTAGAAGAATCACAGGAGAGAGATACACCTGATTCCAACTTGGAAATAACGGTTGATGATGATGGTGATAATGACGATGACGACGATGAGGATGATGATGATGAGGATGATTTTGATGACTTTGAAGATGTTGATCTCGAGAATGTTAAACCAAGGGCAAGTTCAAACATCACAGGAGATATCAACATCAATGTTAATCATAAAAAGGATGAGCTTCAAGGTAAAAAGAAGAAGAAGGGGAAATCAAAGAATGTTATCAGTAGAGAAGAAAGATTATTTAGGAAAGATTATCATCGCAATCATATCGCAATCATGGCAATACATGGATTTATAAGGAATAAATGGTGTAATAACAGTACAATTCATGCTTATATCACAAAATTAATAACCTCCAAAATATATGATGAATTACATCCTTCAAAAGAAATTGAAATGCCTCAAATAAGGACAAGAAGATTTTTAGACGGTCTACGGCATCTATTAGATAAATGGTCTAAATATTATAAAGTTACATCAAATAAAGGTATAATAAAACATGACTGGTATGACTGGTATGGTTATGATAAAAGTAAAACACCATTTGAAAGATTTGCTAAATGCATTGCTAAAGGAAGAGGCAGTAGAGATATAGGTGCCCAAGGGTTTGTTGCTTTACTAAGAGCTGCTGGTGTTCCATCACGTTTAGTATTTTCATTACAACCACCAGATGTTACATGTATGGCAATTAAGACCAAACCTGAATTTGGAAACAATGAACAAACCACATCAAAAGCACCTAAGAGTGCAACTGAAAAATTATTGGAGTTGAGAAAGGGGAAAATAAGTGAATCTGTTGACAAACCTGTTAAAAATATAGATATAGAATTGGATTATCCTATATTTTGGGCAGAAGCTTGGGATTCAGCATCTAAAATATGGATAACTATTGATCCTGTAATTTTCAAAATTATTGAAAATATCAAATATAGAAGTAAACTTGAACCACCATTTAGTTATCCTCATAATAATCTTACTTATGTTATTGGTTATGATAGAAAAGGTGGAGTCAGAGATATTACTAAACGTTATGCAGAGAAATATTATGCTAAAACTAGAAAGAAACGTATAACTAAAGATGAAAAGGAAGAGATTTGGTATGAAGATTTTCTGCAGACATTATCTACAAGAAGTGCTAATAGAGCTGATGAATATGAAGATGAATATTTCAATAAAAAGGCAATAAGTGAAGGTATGCCTGATAATATTCAAGATTTCAAAAATCATCCTTTTTATGTATTAGAGGGACATTTAAGATCAAATGAAATTTTACATCCAAAGGAACACTGTGGTATGATTAGAACAAAGGGTAAAAATTCATCATTAAAAGTTTATAAAAGAGAAAATGTTCAAACTTTAAGAACTCCAAGAGCTTGGTATCAAAAAGGTCGAGTTTTGAAAACAGGTGAAAGACCAATGATGGTTAAACAGAAAACTGCTTTACAAATGAAAGATGATGATGATGATCCAGAGGAAAGATTATATGCAATTTTCCAAACAAGTATATATATTCCACCTCCAGTTCAAAATGGTGAAATTACTAAGAATGCTTATGGTAATATTGATGTTTATGTTGATTCAATGATCCCTGAAGGTGGTGTATTAATTCAAAAACCATTTGCAACAGATGCTGCTAAAATGGTTGGTATTGATTTTGCTCCTGCTGTTGTAGGTTTCAAATTTGAAAGAAGAGGTGCAACACCAAAAATTGATGGGATTCTCGTTGCAGAAGAATTTAAAGAAGCTGTTGAAGTTGTTAGTGAACAACTCAAAGTTGAAGCTGTGGAGAAACAAAGAATTGATTTAGAAATTAGAGCTTTGAAAGGTTGGGGTTTATTATTGGCTAAATTAAGAATTAAACATAGATTAAATACTCAACATGGTAAAATTGATGAAGATGAAGATGTGAATGGAAATAGTGAAGATGAATTCGCCAGATTAGAGAAAGAATATGAAAATTATTTGGAAAATGATAGTAGTGATGATGATGATGATGGAAATGGAAGTGAAGAAGGAGAAGAACAAAAAAATCATTATGAACCTGGTGGATTTATTGTGGAAGCTGGTCAAGGTGGATTTGAAGCACCAGGTGGATTCATTCCTGATGAAGGTGGTTTTGATAAAGGTGATGAATATGAAGAATCTCATGGAGGTGGAGGTTTCATACAAGATGAAGATGAAGGATATAACTCATATGATGAACAAAGAAACGTTTCTAATAGAAGTCACAGTGAAGTGCAAGATTCAGATGGTGGATTTTTGATTGATGATGACGATCCAACTAACTCCAAATCTAAATTTGATGAAGATGATGATGAACCTTATTATGGAGAAGGTGGATTTATTGTCGAGAATGAACAACCTGAAAATGAAGAACACAAAGAGGTTACTAATGAAGAACCAAGTAATCAAGTTGTTGAAAATGATGAAAATGATGAAGATATAGATGAATTTGAAGCTTTCTTCGATCAATTACAAAATGGTGAAGAGGATGATGATCATGAAAGTGATGAAAATGAAAAACCTGATGAAGAAAATGAACAAGTTTTTGGAAATGAAAAAGATGATAATGAAAAAGATGAAATCTATAATGTCAAAGAATCAGAAAACGGTAATCAAAACGAACCTTTGCAGGAATCAGTTAATGAACCAGCTGAAAATTTTGCTGATGGATTAATAATTGAAGAATCCAATACACCAATCCAGGATGCAAAGAATGATGTACTTGAAAATAATGCTACTAAACCTGAAAAATTTTCATATGAACCTAATATTATAAATGACTCAATCATACAAGAGTCATCAGAACAATCAATACCTGATCCAATACCAGAAGAAGAAGAATTTGAAAATGAATTAGACAAGGAATTTAATGAACAATTAAGAAAAGAACAAGAATTATCAAAATTGAAAACTTCACAAGAATCAAATAGCTCAAAGAATATTGATGAAGATAATGTTGAAGACTTTGAATTTGATTACGATTCTGACTAATAAAAATTATATGTAATCTATTATATAAATGAAATGCAAATGATTTAATGAATTTATTGAAAGTATGTTATATGTACTATATATATCTCAAAAAATATTATATGTGTAGAAGTAAATTATAAACCTTTTTTTTAATGCAATACCACCCATTTATTTGTTTTTTATGCTAATTTGTATTAATATAATGCTAATTATAATTGAATTATTTACCCAATCTTCTTCTTTTTTCCTCAATTCTTCTTCTTTCTCTTTCAGCTTCTTCTTTTTCTTCCAATCTTGCCCTTTTAGCAGATCTCATTTCTTCATTCAAGACTTCAGAACCTGTAGCTTCCATATCTGATAAATCATCATCTTGATCAATAAAATCTGATCTTGATTTACCTCTATTAAACATTTTCCAAATTTCATCTCTATCATAACCAACATCTTCTTCCTCTTCTTCTATTTCTTCATCATCTTCAATAAAATCTGATTCATATTCATCTTCATCATAATAATTTTGTTTTGATTGTTTCTTCATAGTTTGTTCTTTTCTCTTTTTAGCATCTAATTTAGCTTGTAATTGAGCAGAAGGTTTAGCAAATTCTTTTGGTCTTGGTTTTGGTTTAGGTGGTGCGGCTTGTGGTCTTTGAGGTGGTGGAGCAGATCTTTGACGAGGTATGTTATTTGTTGGTGTTGTACTTCTCCTTATACTTGAATATGTAGATGATTGTGGGTTTGGTGATGGTCTTGTAGATCTGGGTTGAGTTTTAGAAATATGTTTTGGAGCTGTTATTTGTGTTGGATTTGGTGATTGTTCTTTACGCTCTTTTAATAATTTTGCCTTTTCTTCAGCTTGCATCATTAATTCTTTAAAAGATAATCTTTTTTGAGGTGATGAAGATCTTGGACGTTGTTGAATGGCACTTTCTTTAACTTGAACTTCTGGGATTCTTCTCCTTCTAACAGCAGGTTGTCTTGATGATGATGTTGATGATGATGATGTGTTATTTCTTCGTTGTGTTTTTGGTTTGGGGTTTGCTGCCTCTTTTTTAGCATTTTCAATTCTTCGTAGTTCTTTTAATCTTTGAACAGCAGGATCTATTGTTCTTGGAGGTTCTGCTGATTGTGAACGACGTACTGAATTTGTTGGAATTGGTCTTGGTTTAGGTTTTGGTGTATTTGAACTTGATGAAGTACTTGTCCTTTTACCATCATTTGAATTTTTGTAATTATATCCTTGTGAAATGCTACTATCTGAATCTTTTGTCTTATGTTTGATCTGAGATAGAATTGATGAGAAACTCATTTCTCCAATTTACTAATGCTTTATAAGGAAAATATCCCTTATTGAATATCTTGTTAAAATTAATAATGACTTGTACATTTTAATTTTTGTATCTATGTGTTTCTCGAATTTTATTTTACTGCCAGCGCGAATTTTGCCATCAGTCGGAACTGGACACTTTTGGAAAATTCCGGTCACTGCCATCAGATTTCGGGTAAATTTAATACTATAAGTAAATTTAGATAAGCGTATATTATCAACAGATCTTGTAATTCTTACACTACATTTTGATATGAATCAATTGTTTAAAAGGAAAAGGGAAATATGTATATTTATTAAGTCTGTTGGTATCAGTCATAGAGTATTAATCCAGACATGATATTCACAAATCAGCTTGAATAAGATCACCTTTTTAATTGTGTATAATAATATAATAACCATGAAGTCAAAGGAGAGATAAATGAGATGAAACGAAAATTAAGAAATTATGTAAATTAAAACTTATAAAAGTAATAACATTCCATGATCCAATTTAAGTTCAAAATTTAGCATCTAGACAAAGAGTTGCATGAAGCTTTTAAGAAAGCATTGAAATTGATCTATCATTCAAAAAGGTATGAAACGTTTTCTTTGAATATGAGTAATTTGCATCAAAAAGGAGCATAACCAATCACACATTTTGTAAAATGTATGATTTCAAAGTCTCAGGATCATGATAAAGAACTCATAAAGAACATTGATTGAAAAAGGTGAACATAATGGAGTTTTCAGTGTATCAAAAACCACACATTAACAAACTCAATACTTTAAACCAGCAGCATAGCAGAAAAAAACAAGAAAGACAATTCCAAACAGAATATAAGTTATAAAAGGTGTGATAAAATAGATGATGGGTATCAATTGTGGGTATTTGAAAATTTGAAAAGGTATCAATGATGAGTGTATATGGGGTATCAATTTGAGCATAATATCAATTATGGATGAAGAAAGACATAATTGAAAGGAATGGAAAATGGGTATTTAAAATTTGAAGATTGGGTATCACAATTAATGTGTAATTGGAAAATAAAACTGTGAAAAATGAACAAATAACAGGAAAAATGGGTATCTTTGATAATTAATAATGGGTATCTTTTTTTGCAAAAGGGTATTTTAATGGGTATCTCAAGTAATAATGATCTGGGGAAAAGAAAAAGAATGAAGTATGGGTGTTTCACAAATTGTATAGGGTATCAAGTAATTCAATTGTAAGGGTATCATTGTTTATATAAACATCTTTTATTTTAATCAGCACCCAATGGAGAACCGTAGTAATTTTCAAATAATCATATAATATCCTTCAAAATAAGACAATATATGTAAAGGGACAAATGGAAATAAAAAAAATCATTAGCAAAAGTAGAGAAATATCATCAAAACAACAAAGAGGAACATTTGTATTGTTTATAACTTACCAAGTGGGAATCAATTGAATTTATATGGGAGATATTAATTAAAGGGTATCAATGCAAAAAAATGAGGTTCAAAAAAATCAGCTAGATGGACCGTTTATATATCAAAATTAACGAACCATAAAAAGCACATGCATCTAGACTCAATCAACATAATAAACTTCTTAGACAACCAATGATGATCAAATGTATATCCCTAAGCAACCGATCAAAATTTAAAATATTATAATGTGGCATGGTTATAGTTAGTATGTATAAGTTAATAAAATGGGTATAAGAATTTTTGTAAATTATCAATAAAATGCTGAACTCCTTGCGTAAGATGTAAATCTTGAACTTAAACACAAAAACCTTTTTGTGTCATGTACTCTTAAGGAGTACTTCATCTTTAAGCGTAGAATTGTTAAGAAATCCACTCATTGAGCAACTGAGCAATTGAACAATTGAACAAACGTAATAGACAAGAACATCAATAACCAGGTATAATTGCTGTTAAAATTCCAGTTCTTTATCATATTAATTGAATGAAATGTATAGTAAAATGAATAAAATTTGCCATCCTGGATTTTCAAGGATGATGAAAAAATCGATTAAAGTTATCCGAAAATTTTGTGCACCAACCTGATCCAAGGTTATAATAACCAATAGTCAAAATTAATATAATTTTAGGTTAGACCTGGTAATTGAACTAACTCCATTCGATCTCAACTAACATGTGGTTTATGTGAAATAAAGCATCCTGTATGTAATTTAAAATTATATCAATATAGCCTCTGATGGTTGAGTATTCCCGCTAAAAATTAGTCAAGTCGTAACGACAATAGATTTGTACCCTGCATATAGTTGATAACAACTAAAGATCTATAGTTAGGTTAACCGTGGATAAAATGTCTCTTTGCATCACCATTCATGATTGATTAATTACTTGCATATGGTGGATAAATGTGGACTATCATGAAGTTAAAACATCACCATCAAAGATTGGATCATATTAAAGTGAACTTTATGAAGAAATCTATATCTCAAATCAGATCTAAATCTAACGACTTCTTCATCCATTTTATATCTGAAATCTCTTTGAATTCAGCTACTCCTTCAACAACAATATCGTTATTCTATGAGGTTCCATTATGAACTGATAACGTATAACCCCATGGTATGATCTAACTCTCAAAAGATGTTGAAGTTAATGGTTATACTTATCCGTTTTAACTGACATGCGCTAGTAAACTATAGATTTTAAACTACGAACTTGAATTACTTAACGCGGTTTTGCAGGTAATAGTAACTTTACCCATGAATTTTGACTCAAAATAAAGATTAGGACGCGTATTAACACGATAACACGATATCCTTGAAGACGAATTCCCCTTTAAACAAACTTTATTAACTTGTATTCACAATGCACATCCCCTTTTTAATCCTGTTGTCCTGGATTTTCGCATGTTAAATTTGGTCTTTGTTGATTTTATTAACAATATTATGCATACAAATTATTTTAAAATTTCAAACTTTAAAATTAAAATTAAATTTCATTAATATACAATTTATGGAAAATACAGAAAAAGACATATATCAAAAAAACATTTTACAATATTCATCAAATATCTCCCATACTTTTAATCTTCTTTCACCTTCTAATCATTAACAACTGTTGTTCTCTTTCTTTTTTTAATTGATTTTTATAATTATTTCATTGTTTTCTTAAATATTGATTCATGTAATTTGACTTCATAATCTTAGCACCCCCTATAATCCCTAAAAAATAAGATTGAATGTGGTGTATATCATTGAATTTATACAATCAAGTAACGAATTGGGATATGAATCTAAAAAAAAATAACATGTTAGTACTTAAAACTTTGATAATAATAACATCTGAATATTCACCACATGTGCCTCTTGTAGTTATATATATTCTAAACGATGTAAATTTTGGTATTTAACTTACTAATTTGATGGCATAACCGACAAGACCCATCATAATAAAACCAACACCAACAGCTCTGATGATTTTGATGTATTCTAATCCAAAAAAGTTAGTATATTTGATCATGAATACAATGGAGCATCTAGTGAAGTACTGATACAATAACAATGAAAAATCCAATAAGATCTTTTTAATTGTATTCTTCACGTCTCTGAAATTTCCAACTCTCCACTGATAAATTTAAAAAAAAAACTTACCTTTTTTATCTGGTTTAGTACATTTTTGAACAAAAGCAGTACCATCTTTGAAGAATTCAATAGGAACTTCAGTAAATTTTTCTAAACCGTCACCAGCCATTGTTAATTATGTTGTTGTTTTATTCTTTTCCAAATCAATCCTTTTGTTAAGCGCTACGTTTATCAATGATTTGAATTTTGAAGTTTCGACGTGTTCATGAAAAACAAGGTGCGAAATGGTGTTTGGATGTGTGGTAACAATACTGTACTTGATTAGGTAATCAGGATCACGCTATCAATCACAAAGATACACATTTCAAGGTAGAACTGAATAGAAACTGTTTTAAAAAGCTAAAATATCCATTAAAATAGTCCAATTACATCAATATACAGACTATTGGCTTGCTCAGGTATCTTTTGTTTGCTTTTTCCATAATATTACAGGTTGATTAACTTGAAAATTTCCAATTGTTCTGTCATTTACAGCAGTGTCAGGTAAGTTTATCATTTAATCATTACGATTGATCATATTCGCGGTGTTTTGGAAGAAACATACCAAATTCATCAATTTTGAAGGGTAATTCAAATCAATTGATTTATAAAAACTATATCATTCAATTCAGATTTCATCAAGGTGTCTATAGCCAAATTTCTATAAAAATTCATATTTTGTAAAGCTCAGCGGCTAACATTTTCCCTATATTTTACATCAAATTTTGTTGGTTAAAGCCCTTCGCGAATATTCTCACGATTGTTACAATTGATTCTCATAAAACAAATCAAGGACTTTCCCTAAATTAATTACACTTCATTCAACTTTTTCTTATCAATTACTTTATTTTAATTGATTTTCATAACAAATCAATTGTATTGTTCAAATTGAGTATTGAAACTTCTCTTTCCATTCAAACATTGAGAAAAAATTTAATCCAATTGAATTGATACATTATAAAATTCTCATAAATCTATTGATCTTTTTCTTCAGTTGATTTTGCTTATTTGTGATTTCTCAATATTAAAAGATTTGAAAGTTGTTGAATCCAATTTTTTAGCCGCTAAAACAACCTTGTGCTTCAATTAAAGAAGAAGAAGATTGAAGTGGATTAGAACCACAAGATTCATTATATTTTGAATGTCTGGTAGACGTGGTTCATTCGGCGGTCCACCAGGAGGCCGTGGAGGCGGTTCATCAAGAGGTGGTTCTAGAGGTGGTTCTAGAGGAGGCCGTGGAGGAAGTGATAGAGGCGGTAGAGGAGGCTCTAGAGGAGGCCGTGGAGGAAGTGATAGAGGAAGTTCAAGAGGTGGACGTGGAGGTAGTGATAGAGGCGGTAGAGGTGGATCAAGAGGAGGCCGTGGAGGTAGTGATAGGGGCGGTAGAGGAGGTTCAAGAGGAGGTCGTGGTGGAAAAGAACCAGTCTCTCATTCAGTTATCAAGAATCATGATGGTGCTGATACTAGAATTACAGGTACAAATATGGCACCATTAAAGAATGCTCGTGTTTTTGGTGGTAATGTTGGTGCTCCAGGTCCACCACCTCCAAGCTTTAATGGTCCACCAAGAGGTGGGAAAAGAGGTCGTGATGATGATATGCATAGTTCACCAGCTCATAAAAGAACAAAAAGTTTCAGTGATTCTTCTTCAAGACCTCCAAGAGATGGTAATGGCTTTGGTAAACCACAACGTGGTGGAGGTAGTGGCCGTGGAGGAAGTTCAAGTGATAGAGGTGGTAGACCACCAAGAGATGGTAGAGGATTTGATCATTTTGGTAACAGAGATAAAACTGATGGATTTGATCAAAAAAAATTATTTGAAAGAACAAGACCTCCAAAACCACGTTTCTCAATTGATTCATTAAAACCATTGGTTCCAAAAGTTTTAAATACAAGTGAAGAAAATACTAGAGCTGTTTATATTTTAGGTATGAGTCCTTCAATTACTGAAGATGATATTAGAGAATGGATTATTGAATTTTCATCATCTAAAAAAACTGAAGGTGCAACTTCAAATTTGGTTAGTTCTTTGTTTAAACCTAAAAAAGAAGAAAATGAAGAACAAACAATAAGTGATCTTGAAAAAGCTAAAGCTGAAGAAGCTATTACAAAACCAAATGATGAAGCTAATGGTGAGACTAATGGTGAAGCTAATGGTGAGACTAATGGTGAAGTTAATGGTGAAAAAACCGCTATTGATAATAATGATAATGCTGAAAAAGGTGAAGAAGACGAGGAAGAAGATGGTGATGATGAAGATGACAATTCTGATGATGAAGCGGAGAAAGAAGATAAAAATAAAGAAGATAAGACACCAAAGAAACCTTTAGATCCAGAACAACAGAGACTTGCAACTTTACGTAAGAATAAAAGAAGAGAAAGACGTAAAAATAAAGCTAAAACTGCTAAATATGTTGAAAGAAGATTGAACTCTAAAGCTCAACATTTGTTGGATAATATCAGAAATGTTATATTTGATACTCAAGATAGTAATGGTAAATCAAGAGGTAATGCTTATGTTGAATTTTCAACTCCAATTTCAGCTATTTTATTCAGAGTTGTTATTGAAAAAGTTAATAAGAATAATAAAGAAAAAGGATTAAATTCAAGATTCATTACAAAATTTGCTAAAGTTTCTAAATATCCATTTACTTTGGTTAAAGCTACTGTTAAAGTTGAATCAGTTGAAATTACTGAAGGTGTTTCAAAACCACAAGAACCACCATCACAAAATGGAGCAGTTAATGGTGTTGCCAACCCACAAATCCCAATACCACCTAGTGCTAACAATCCAAGAGTTAAAACTGAAGGTGAAGTACCAATTCCATCATCACCATTTGTTAATGTTCCACCACACGCTAGATCTGATAGTAGAACTGCACCTTTACCACCAACACCAACATCTTCACAAAGAGTACCATTACCACCACATCATCAACCAAATCAACCACCATCTGCAAATCATTCTAGACCACCACCACCACCATCTGCAAATGCTCCACCACAATTGTCTCGTCGTGGTCAACAAGGACCACCATCACAACAAGTACCACCATCAAGAAAAGCACCACCAAGTGGTCCAGGTGGTCCAAATGGAGCAGCAATCCCACCACATCGTTCTCAAGGTCCACAACAACCACCAACAAGACAACCAATGGGAGCTGGATCACCAAGACCAGGTCCTCCATCAGGTGCAGGTTCACCATCTTTATCAAATGCAAATGTTAGAGGTGCTCCAAATTTTGCAAATTCACCAAGACAAGGCCCACCAGTCCAACAACCACCTCCAGGTTTATCACGTCGTAGTGGTCCACCACCACCACCATCTCAACAAGTACCACCAACTGCAGGTTCACCACAACAAGCTTATGGGCAACCAAGAGGTCCTCCAGTACAACAACAACCAAATAGAGCCAATGTACCTCCATCACAACAAAGAGGTCCACAAGGTCCACCACCACAAGGTCCACCACAACAAGGTCAATTTGGTAGAGGTCCAATTCCACCTACAGCTCAAAGAGGTCCACCACCACAACAAGGACAATATGGTAGACCACCACCTCAAGGTTATCCACCACAAGGTTATTCAGCACAAGGACCACCACCACCTCAAGGTTATCCACCACAACGTCCAGGCTCAAATTCAGGCCCAGGAGGTCCACCACAACCACAACCACAATTTAGACAAGGTGTTCCACCTCAAGCAAGACCTCCACCACAAGGATATCCATATCAAGGTCAACCAGGAGGTCCACCAGGCCCAGGAGGTCCACCACCTCAATTTAGACAAGGACCACCACCACCTCAAGGTTATGGTTATCCACCTTATCAAGGAGGTCCACCACAAGGTGGATCAGTACCACCTCAAGCTCAAGGTCAAAGAGGTCCACCACCTCAAGGTTATAATTATCCACCACAAGGTCAAAGACCTCCACCACAAGCTTAAAGATAATTCTTTTATTTGAAATGAAATATTTTTGGAAATAAAGGTTAACTTTAATGTATTTTGTTGATTGATTGATTTTTTAATTAATCATGTTTAATTTGCTAGATTTATCACGGATGATAATTGAAATTTTAAATTTTATTTTAATTTAATTTAATTTAATTTAATTTGTTCTTGTTTTTGCTATATTAATGCTCTATTTTCAAAAGGTAAGAAAAGAAAAAAATATATGAAATAAATGTTAATGAAGAATGGTGTTATCGTAGTTCTACATTTCATTTTCATATCTAAACTAAGTTAATTAATATGCATTTTTTCTATAAACTATTATACAAAAGGGTTGAGATTATTTTATTCAAACCCATTCCATTCATCTTCACTTTCTTCTTCTTCATCTTCATCATTTTCTTCTTCATCATCACTTTCACTTTCATCATTTGATTTATTTAATTTTTTTAATTTTTTATCAATAATTTCTATAACACCCCAATTTTTCAATCTATCATCATTTAAAATTTCATCTTTAATTTTTTCTCTAAGAGTTTTATAAGGAGCATTTTCACTTAAATCTTGGAAAACCGTTATTAATTGACCAATTGGAGTTTTATTTATTATTTCTTGTTTTTCTTGAATTTTATCATCTTCTTCTTCTTCGTCACTTTCTTCATCATTTTTTAAATCTTTGAATAAAACTTTTTCTAATTCATCAATATAAATATCAATAATATGAAATGGAATACCAGTTGGAATTGATTTATCACCACTTAATGGACCTTCTCTTAAGATTGTTAAAAAATCCTCGACAATTGATTTTTCCCATTCTTCAGAATTTAATCTTTTAAAAATTGAATTCAATACGAATCTAATCAACATTAAAAATTTATCTAATCTCCAATGATCAATATTAATCCATTCTTTTGTTATAATAACCCACCAAGATTTTTGGAATTTTGAGAGATTCTTCAATGGAATAATTTCAAATAAATTTGCCAATTCTAAAGCTAATCTTTGTTGAGGTCTTGGTCTATCACAAAACCACATTGAATAATATAAACCTTTCCATAATTTTTCAAATTCTAATAATGATAAATCTCTTGATGATGATAAAAATTTTTTTAATGATTCAAGTGCTTTTGTTCTTGTTTGACGATCTATTGTAATTTTATTAGTATTATTTCTGAAAAACAACATCCGGTTGTTATATACATACCATTTGCTGCCAATTTCTTGACAAATGTAGAAGTTTGAATATTTGACATGATGAGTGGATCAAATAAGTCTGTATTATCTACTTTTCAAATAATAAAGATCAAACTTATGTATAGAAAATTTTAAAAGAAAAATTAAAAAACGATGAGCTTGTTGGGGCACTACATCACCAAAATTCAAACCCGCGAATTTATATCAAATATTAACAATTTATTCATAATTACAACAAGATAATCAAGATCAACTAGAAGATATAAAACATTGATATCATTATGAGCAATAAAAAACCTACGAATCCAAAAGAAAACCCATATGTCCCCAAATATATTAAAGATGTTCCGTGGTTTCAAGAACAAACCAATCCAAATGATTATTTATCACATCATAGAAATGGGAATAAAGAAGAAGAAATTTTAAATTCAGAACCTAAAATAGGAGCAGGTATTAAAGATGAATTTATATCAGTACAGCCCGAGGTTCAACCCAAACCAAAATTTAAGAAATTAAGAGGGAAGAAGGGATGTTTAAATTGTGGTGGTATTGATCATGATCAAAAAAATTGTTTAGAAAAACCTGGGAAATCAAAAATCAATAATAAAGTTGAAAAACCAATATTAAATAAAAGAAATGAAGAATTAGATTATGATGGACAAAGAGATCGATGGTATGGATATGATTCAAAAGATTATAAAAAATATTTAACAAATTGGGAAATAAAACAAAAAGAAAAAGAGAATGAAGCAGATAATACAAAACAATATGATACAGATGAAGAAATTGAATTAAAGGAATTAGGATTAGATCATGATTTAGAATTTATAAATACTGAAAAACAACCAGGTGAAAAAACTATTCGAATTCGTGAAGATAAAGCAATATATTTACAAAATTATACAAATGATAATATAACATATGACCCAAAGAGTAGAATGATTAGAGATCAATCAACTGGTTTTTTCAATGAACAAAATCTATTTGTTAAACATATGACTGGCGATGCTCTTAAATATGAAAAAACTAAAACATTTGCATGGGATGAAGAGAAAAAAGGTGTTGATGCATCAAATTATGCATCAAATCCAACTTTAGCAGATATTAAAATTAATGAAACAAAAAATGAAAATCGTATAAAGAGTGAAAAGGTTAAGAGTGAATTAATGAAGAAATATGATGGTTCTTTATCAATTAAAGACCAAAGTGATGAAGAAGAAGAATCAGAACCAGAACCTCAATATAAAGATTTTACAATTTCTAAATATATTGAAGATGAATATATAAATAATCATACAAGTGTTTGGGGAAGTTATTATAAAGATGGGAAATGGGGGTATCAATGTTGTAAAGGAATGTTTAAGAATAGTTATTGTAATAAATGATTTTATATTTAATTAGCCGCTGTAATGAAAGTGAATGAAATTAAACAAATATTGAAAGTAAAATAAAATAAAGTAAGCTAAATAAAACACAGGGCATCGTAACCATCATATATATATATATATTATATATATATATATATATATTGATTAACTATACTGATTATGTAATCAATTATGTAATTATCACATGACTATACTATGACATAATCCATGACATAATCATTTTTTTTAGTGGCAAATTTTAAAATTTGCTGCAGTTTAATTATTTTGTATGTGGTTTTTTTTTTTCGTATGTGGTTGTTTTAAATTGATTGATTGGAATACTTCTTGGTAAAATAAATGAACTAGAGATCTATTGTCTAATCGTTGTCATGACTCACTCTATGTCACTCTATTCAACTCGCTATCGCTCGTTGAATCTCGTTGAATATCCTTCACCGTTAATCCTCGTGTGACTGATTTCTTGATTGAACTAATTTCAAATCCCAGTACTTGAATACCCACGTGTAGTAGATCTCACAATTAATTAAACAAAGCATACAACAATACAACAATACAACCAATAAAACAGGAAGGGGGTATAAAAGAGGCATAGTAAATAGAATGAGGTGATGGTAGAATACTAGAATAGTATAGTAGTTACTAGTATAGATAATAGTATAGTATAGTATGGTATAGAGTATAGTATAACATATCCATCCACCCATTTAACCCTTCAAGCAGATAATGATACACTGAAAATCTCAACATACATATTAATCGTATTTAATTCATTCTCGGAGTGTCCACTGTCCTGTTGTTTCCAGCTTTCCAGCTATGTACTAATTTATTCCTGTATTCCTGTTTAAGATGCAGAAAAATGCTGCAACACAAATAGTCAAACAGTGATATAAGTATAACCTTGGATCCACTAAATACACAAAACAATACTATACTATCTATTAACTATCTATTACTTTCACATTCATTTCATAGTCTATTACTTTGTTAGTTTACTAGTTTATTACTCATTAGCTTATTAGTCTATTCGCTTATTAGTGTTAAGTCCACTCAGCCCTGCATTGATTAGATAAATTTGACTGGTGAAAGATTATATTATCACATCAAAACTAGACTAGAACTAGAACATCAACAAAAGACATCAGAACAACAAAAGACAAAAGACACATCACCATCAACACCATACTTCAATGAAATTCGGGTCTCAACTACAGAAAAAATCTGTTCCTGAATGGAAATCTTATAATATAGATTATAATCATTTGAAATTCAAAATTAGAATAATAACTGATCAATCTCAAAAGATTAACAACACATTACTCATAAAAGATTTATATAATGAATTTATTGAACAAATAGATATGGTTAATTTATTCCTAAACTCCAAAATTGGTGAAATTAAAAGAAGAATCATTTATATTGAAAATACTATTGAACATCAAATTAAACCTCATAATCATGAAGAATTTGAAATTGATATTGAAAATTATTTATACAAAATATCAAATGATTTACAAAAGATTTCAAGATTTATAATGATTCAAAAAACTGCTATAAGGAAATTACTCAAGAAATTTACAAAATATTCAAATGACCAGGGTGAATTAAATTTAAAAATTAATAAATATTTAATATCAAATTCGAATTCTTTTATTCATTTAGATTTAACTGGATTATACCTAGAGTTAGCTTTGATTTATGATTTAATAAGAGCTGATTTACAAGCTTCTATATCACCTTCAAATTCTCCAACTCCAACAATACCAAATAATAATAACCGCCGTCGTTCTTCATATATTGATCCATCAACAATTTTAAATAAAAATGAATATTTCCAATATGAATCAATAAAAGAAGGTAATTATTTAGAAAAATTCCTTGTTCATTATGATAATTTACAAGAATTGAAACTTTTCCTATTGGCAAATTTTTATTTTGTTAATCAAAATGTTAGTGAAACAAGACAAACTATTGAATTGAAAAAACAAACTTCAAAATTAAGTCTTCGAGAAATTATAAATAAACATTCAAATTCTCAAGAAGATTTAACTTTACAAGATACAAATAATTCTATATATGTTAATAATCAAGATAACTTGGTGGATGATTCAACTTTATTAGGTTTAATATTGGATAATGAGCATACACATCATAATAATAGTAATAATATAATTGAACCTGGTTTAATAATTACAAATTTAAATCATACCAAAAGAACTATATTATTAAGTGCTATTGGAGGATTAAGAAAAATTTCATGTGTCTTGATGAATGATTATGAATTCTTAGGGAATTTATTAAAAAGTTGTCTTGAGGGACAATCATATAAAGATTTTTATAGTCAAAACTCATTAAAATTACAATCATTATCATCATTAGAAAAAATTTCAATTGAATGGATTTATTCCAAGAATGTTAAACCAATTTATAAATTTAAATTTAATGAAACAAATTTTACAAATTTAAATGCAATGAAAACTATATACAAGGATTCAAATTTTAAATGTTGGATAAATTTAAAATCAAATATCAAAATTAATGACTTAGATTTAGATCAAATGGAATGGACTGGGGAAAATGAATTCAATTCAATAAATTTCCCATATGCCCTCTTGGAAGTCCGTTGGAATTTACCAAATATTTCTCATACAGTATTGGATAAATTATTTGATAATCATTTAATTTATAATATTGATCAAAGTTTTAACTTGTTAAATTATTATAAATTTACTCAAAATAAATTGTCCATGAATCCATGTCCAAAATGGTGTGAAATTTTCCAAAAAAATTTAGATATTAGAAAATTACCACCAAGATTAACCAAAATTAAAAATAAATCAAAATTAAACCTCAAGCAAGAAGAAATAAATGGGGGTGCTGGTTCTGTCTCGGGTGAATCTACTGTCCAATTTAGATATTGGAATGAATTTGATAATGGTTCAGATTTTGAACAAGATGATGGTGGGTTTCTTATTGATATAAATGATGATTCATCTCAATGGGGGAAAAATTCAATTGATTGGTTTTTACAAAAATCCCTAAATTTATATAATTTTTTAGAATCATTTCAAAGTAAAGAACAAATAAGACCAAAAGGTAGATTAATTAATGATTTAGAACAAGGTTATGGTTCATTAGATTCTGATTTAGAATCTATAAATGATGATGGATATAAAAATTTACAAACTTCATTTTTTTTATCATCATTATCACTTATATCATCAATAATTTCATTGTTATTAACTTCAATTTCTATTGGAATTTTAACTTCAATATATAATTCAAAATATGAAGTGGAAATTTCCACATTAGTTATGGGTATATTAATTATAACAATGATTTTAAGTTTATTTTTAGGTGTTTTATCAATTTGTTTAATTATGAATTGTGATGATCGTCCTGGTTTTAATTTTTGGTTTAGTTGGATTGTTTTCATTAGTGTTACAATTTTTATTATTGGTAGTATTGGTTCAATATTTGGAATTTAATAATTTGAATCAACTAAAAAAATCTATAGATGGTGTTTTATTTATTGCATAGGAATTTAATAATATAATAATTAATAATGTTTATACTAGGTTATTGTAGGGACTAAAACTAGGACTAAGACTCAGGTCTAGGCCGGAGACTAGAGACTAGGAATTTTAGTTTTCGTTATAATACTATACAGTCTTTTATAATTATAACTTCATTAATACTATTGATTTTCATGGTACTTTTTTACCTGTTTTTGAGGCTATAATTATTCTTGTCAATATGCAACTTGATTATATGATACATGCTTAGAATTTTCTTGGTTCTTGGTTGTATAGGTGCCCAAGTTTGTACTAGCAAGTACATTCAGTATGTAAATTCATAGCTTGAAATTAATTAGAAGCTTGAAAGCTTGGAAACACAATGAAAGAAACATTACAATCCATTGTTTGTTTCACATTTTATGTGAAGTCTTTCAACTTGAAACCTTCATTAAATGATGAATGACAAAATGTTAAACAGATTTTGGTTTATTTAATAAAGTAAAATGTGGTTTGTACTTGTACATATTTTTGATATATTTAGACCTCCATGTGTTTTTTTTAAAAAATCCCTTGTCTCTTGGAAATCTGGCATCCCACTAATGAATAAAGAAGTATCAGTATCATTGAAAATTTTATCAGATGATAATGTTTCCACCATCAATTTGATAAGGGATTGGACTTTTTTATCAGAAGCAAATCTTCTTTTAATGATCTTTATATTATGTGAAGCAATTTCCCCTTCTACTTTCAACTGTTCAACATCGAATTCTGGATCTTGTGTAATTTGTTCAGGTGATAATACATATTTCTTGTAGGGATGATTCTTTCTAAGTTTGTCTTTCGTAGTTATCTTACACAATTCACTTCTTCCACCTGAATCATAAGATTTGAAAAGTTCAGAAAGATGAACCAATTCATTAAAATAGACTTTGTTAGGGAAAACTTCATTTGCTGTATTGTAAGGTACTTTGCTAAAACTATGAGGATCAAAAGTTTTGGATATACCTAATCTAGGATCATCCCATCTACTCTCTTCCTCGTTGAAAAGTTGATGTGAATCTGGCCCATAAAAGAAACCATCTGCTTTAACTTGTGTTCTTGAAGATACTCTTTCAATACCCAATGATCTTCCGAAATGTTCCAACACACGGTAAACCTGAGAATCATAGACTAATTCTTGATATCCATGTAGTATCGAAATATCAACATTAATGGACTTTATGGTTCTTCTAAGAATTGAATCAGGGTTATTCATTACATGATAAAATAACATTTTGATTTCATCATAATCTGTGATAACTAATGTTTTCTCATCTGGAAAAGCTCTTGCAACATCATAACTAACATCTAAAAATTCATATTCGTATTTAGAGCTTTCTAAATTTCTTTCATAAATTGAATAAGAGTCACATGGCTTATCAGGGAAATCTGGACCTTCTCTTAAGAAACAAGCATCATTTTGTCTCATTTTCTTAGTAGAACTGACAACTAATAATAATTGCAACTTTTCAATTCCAGAACCACCATAAACATATGGTGCCAACCCATTGAAAATTGCTCTGTTAATAGAGAGAACTTCCATTCTGATACCACCTTTTTGCATAATTATCTCCCAGATTTCTATGGGGAAAGGACCTAAAACTGTTTTTTCTTTGCTACTTTCTTTTGCTTCATTCAATGACTTTAAATGTTGTTTAGAATAATGAATCAATGGGAAGAGTGACCTATTGAAGCACCAATACTTTAATAAAGCAGGTCTGAGAGTTTCAAGCCAAAATTCCTTCTTTTGATTAACTTTTTTATTTTTAATCACCACATATTGATCCATGTTGGAATATCTATTTTCAATACGTTTGACATCGTTAGCCAAAATTTCACGTTTTAATTTAACATTTTCTATTAATTTCTTTATATCTGCTGTCATTTTAGAATTATTCACTGATTACCTCTATATTAATGTAATTATATGTTTAATTAATTGTATTGTACTTTATATGAAGCTAGTATAATATGATTGTAAAGAATCGTGAAAGGGAAATGGAAAAGAAGAAAACGATGGGCTTTCTAAGATATTTATCCTTATTTTGTGAGAATATTGTATCAACTAATGAGTGAAAGTAATCCATTTTCTGTCTAATTGAGTTATAAGGTTATTTGAGGTGTTAATTGAGCTAATATTGCTGGGAATGTTAAAGTTTGAGGCCTTTACATGAGTATCTAATTTTCCCGAGCTCAATAAACGCTAATGGAAAAAGATATAACCAATATACCGGTCATTGAAGTCCTTTGTCAAATACAGTGTTGAATTGTCTTCAATATGAGTAAATAATTCATTCTCTTAATTAAATTGATAAACTTTTGATAAACTATCCAATCCCCAAAACCAAATCTTTAAAATGCACAATATTCTAATGACATGATCATTGCCGAATGATGACAATATTAAAAATATTATTTGAAATATCAAAAACACTCAGAAATGATACTCTGAATTACAGACGTATAACTCATGAAGAAACCACTCATTTTACATTCTATCTTGATAACCACACCATTTGTACCGATTGTAAGATACACTTTTTTATCATGAGCTTATAATTGAAACCCAAATCTTTGTTGAGTCCATTGTAATCCATGTTCTTCATAATCTTGTTTACTAACTCTAACATTTTTATATAATTCATTTTCACTAAATTTTTGAGCACATTCCCAGCCATAAGTAGTTGGATTTGATGGTTTACCAATTCTAACATCCCATTCAACTGGTAATACAACTTTTAATTCTTTTAAAATCCTTTTATGATAATTTTCCATTTGGAAATTCCCTCCAATACAAATTATATTTGATACAATTAATGGTCTTATAAATTCTGGTAATGTATAAATACAATCAATTATTGTTTCAATTAATCCAGGTTTATTATTTATATTGACAATTTCTGGATGAAATATAGTTTCTGGGATGGAAAATCTTTCATCATAAAGTTTTAAAATTTGTTGTTCTTGTGGTTTATATTTAGATTTCAATTCTGGTGTTAATACATAACCTTGAGTTGTTGTATTAAAATCTGGTAACACATATTCAATTATATGATCTTTATCATTTGGACCACTTTGTTTAATTTTTTTCAATGATTCATTATAATCCATTGTAACAAAACATGATTTTTCTTTAATATTATTAACTAATATAGTTTCATCTGTAACATTATAATGTCTAAATGAAACCATTTCTCTCAAGACACCTGATAAAAATCTACCACCAATTTCAAATTTCCTTATACTTTTCCAATATGGTACACCTTTAATTATGGGTATTATCCAAGTTGCATTAAAACCTGAATCAATAACTAATTGGAAATCTGAATAATTTGTTAAATTGTTTAAATCATTATTTAATTTTGGTTCATACAAAGTTTCATTCTCTTTAAAATTCCATGGAATAAAACTTGACATTGGGTTTTTAAATAATGATTTGAACCCATATTCTTCAAATATGATTTGATCTGTATTCATTGATAATTGTGGTAAAGTAAATGGAGTTTCACTTAATATTAGATTAGAATCTGAACTTTCAATATTTAATCCAACATCTCTTGAAGTAAAACTATAATCCCATATTTGTTTCTCCAATTCCCAACTTGTTAAATGACCTTTCTCAATTGGTCTTTTGAAAATTATACCATTAATATCATTAACATTATAAACTTGATTTGATATTAAAATTTTACGATCTTTTGTTTTACATATAGTATTTTGAACTTTTTGAACTTGTGATGAATCTGTTGTATTATAACCTATCTTGATATCATAGGATCCATTATCTAGTATAACTGTACTGCTCATCTTTTTGGAATTGATTGACTAGAACCTGTTATCAAACATCGATCTTTTCCAATAAATTTCAATTACATTAATACTCGAGAAAGTCCATGTTTATACGTGTAATTGAATTCCGACTATATGTGCACGTGATACATACAGGGTAACTCTCCTTCTTAACTATGATTGATGGAAGTCGGAATTCCAATGTTTACCTTTTCGTTCGATTTGTTTTGATTTCAAAAAAACGTTATGATGGTTTTAACGCGTTTAATCAGAAACAAAACAATCAACTAGTCAGAAACTTCACAAGAGATCAAGAGGTCCAGAGATTCTATAGTATAAGAACTGGTACAAATATGAGCTCACCGGTGCAACAGGCAAAGAGAAGAGCCCTGAAGCTCCAGGTATCAGATGATGAAGCAGAGGCTGAATATGACTTGAATGATGTTTCCATGGTTGATGAAGATCAAGATGACGGTGATGATAAGGAAAATGAATTGCCACCTAGTCCTTCAAGTCCAAGTCCATGTCCTGTGAACCCAAGAAAACATCATAGCAGTGTCCAGGGAACACCTAAATCACGTCGTCCTTCTTTAGCTCCAATTGATCAGAATACCACCAATGGTATTGGTAATGATAAAATTAAATTATTGAATAATGTTAAATTAGATCCACCATCACAATCTCAATCTCAATTACCTCCACCACAATCCCCAAAACATAAAACTGCTTTCAATGGTCCAGATATAATTCAACTTTCACCTATAAAATCTTCAAAAACAGCCGCTCTGAATCATTATTCACAAGATCAACCAAAAGAACCAATAATAAGATTAGTTATTAATAAATTGGTTTTAAACAATTTTAAATCTTATGCTGGTACTCAAATTATTGGTCCTTTCCACTCTTCATTCTCTGCTGTTGTTGGTCCAAATGGTTCTGGTAAATCAAATGTTATTGATTCTTTATTATTTGTCTTTGGTTTCAGAGCAAATAAAATGAGACAGGGGAAATTATCTGAATTAATTCACAACTCAGAAGCTGCTCCAAATTTACAATCTTGTTCTGTTGATGTTCATTTCAATCATGTTACAGATAATTTAGATGATACCACTACAATTGTTCCAGGTAGTGAGTTGATTGTTTCAAGAATTGCTTATAAAAATAATGGATCTGATTATACCATAAATGGTAAGAAAAGTAACTATAAAGAAGTTACCACATTACTAAGAAATAAAGGTATTGATCTTGATCATAAAAGATTTTTAATTTTACAAGGTGAAGTTGAAAGTATTGCACAAATGAAGGCAAAAGCTGAAAAGGAAAATGATGATGGTTTACTTGAATACTTGGAAGATATTATTGGTACTTCTGATTATAAAGCTACAATTGAAGATTCTTTCAAGAAAATTGAAGAATTAAATGAAGTTTGTCAAGAAAAGGAAAATAGATTTGGTCTTGTTGAAAAAGAAAAATCTTCACTAGAATCTAAAAAAGATGAAGCTTTGGATTTCTTATTCAAAGAGAAAACTCTTGTTGAACAAAAATCTTTATTGTTCCAGTTTAAGATGCATAAATGTCAAGAAACAATCAATACAAATAATCTGGTTTTGAAAGAATTACAAGAAAAATTATCAACTGAAAAAACTGAATCAACAGGTTTTGAAAAAGAAGTTAAAACTCTTGAAAAGGAATATACTAAATTAACTTCATCAATTGAAGATATTTCCAATAATATTAAAAATTTACAAGATATTCAGAAAAAGAGTGATCGTGAAAAAATTACAGTTGAAGAAAAGAAGAAGAGTTTAGAATCTAAAAAGAAGAAATCTTTCAAATTATTAGAAACTGCAATTCATGCACTTAATGAAGCTGAATCAAAACTTGAAACTATAACTAATGAAAATGTCACATTTGAACAAGAATTAACTAAACTGAAAGATTCTTTAATTCAAGAAAAGGCTTCATTAGATGAAATTCGTTCTGAATTGACTGATAAAACTAAAGGTTTTAATGAAGAAATTGAAGTATATGAAAAACAATTACAACCTTGGAATGAACAGTTAGATGCTAAAAGATCACAAATTCAAGTTGCCGAGAGTCAAGTTAATCTTTTAAAAGAAACCAAAAATAAAACATTTGGTGAAATTGAAAATTTGAAGAAAAGAATTCAAACAATTACTGATGATGGTAATGAAAATGAAAAGAAATTGATCACTTTGAAAAGAGAAATAATTCATATTACAAAACAAATAGAACTGGGTGAACAAGAATGTTCTCATGCATCAGGTAAATTAAATGAAATGAATGGTGTTTTATCAAATCATCGTCAAAGAACTCTTGAAGCTCGTGGTTCTTTATCAAATATTGAAAATAAAAGTAAAGTCTTAGCTGGATTAATGAGACTTCAAGAATCTGGTCGTATTCAAGGATTTTATGGTAGATTAGGTGATTTGGGTTATATTGATGATCAATACGATGTTGCTATTTCTACTGCATGTGGTCAACTAGATGATATGGTTGTTGAAACTGTTGAAGTTGGTCAACAATGTATTGAATATTTAAGAAAAAATAACCTTGGTTATGCAAGATTTATTCTTTTAACAAAATTAAGAAAATTTAATCTTTCAGCAATTAATACACCAGGTAATGTTCCAAGATTATTTGATTTAGTTAAACCACAAGATCCAAAATTTGCTCCGGCTTTTTATAGTGTTTTACAAGATACTTTAGTTGCATCAAATCTAAGAGAAGCTAATTCAGTTGCTTATGGTGCTAGACGTTATAGAGTTGTTACACTTGATGGTAAATTGATTGATAAATCAGGTACTTTAAGTGGTGGTGGTAATCATGTTAGTAGAGGTGGTATGAAATCTACATCATCTGCAAATTCTGTTTCTGAAAAAGATGTCATTAAATTAGAACAAGAATTAGCTGAAAAGGAGAAAAATTTCGAAATTGCACAAAATACTTATTATGAAATGACTGATGCTTTGAAAGAAATGAAAGAAAGAAAACCTGAAATTGAAAATCAAATGTCAAAACTGAAGTTTGAAAATGAATCATTATCAAATGAATTGAAAAATTCTCAAAATCAATTACAAGAAGCTATTAAAGCTAATGATGCAATGAAATCCAATGATAAAGAAATTAGTAATGCTGAAAAACAAGTTCAATCTTTACAAAAGGAATATGAAAATTTAACTGAACAAACCAAAGAAATTCATAATAAAATTAATGAATTACAAGAAAAAATTATGCAAGTTGGTGGTGTTAAGTTACGTTTACAAAAATCTAAAGTTGATGGATTAAATGAAACTATTGAATTAACAAATGAAAAAATTAATAATAATAAAGTTTCACTGAAAAAATTACAAAATGAATTGAAAAGATTTTCAAAATCTAAAATTGATAAAGAAAATGAAATTCAATCATTTACAAATGAACTTGAAAAAATTGAAAGTAATTATCAAGAAAAAATCAAATCATTTGAAAATTTAGAAACTGAATTAAATGAATTATTAGATTCCAAAGATGATTTTAATTCAAAAGCTGAAATTTTAAAAGAAAAATTAGATGAAAATTTAGAAAAAATTAATAAATATAGATCTACAGCTATTGAATTAGAAAATAAAGTTGAAAGACATAGTGGAATTATTAAACAAGAAACTAGACATTTGAATGAATATTTGGAAGGTATACGTTCCTTAGAAGCTAGAGATGTTACAGAATTAGTTTCATTCATAACAGATGATGAAGAACGTGCTAAATTTGCTACACCAGTTCTTTCAGAATTATCACCAGATGAAATTAAAGCTTTAGATATTGAAAAAATTGAAATTAAAACTGAAGAATTAGAGACTTATATTTCAAATGCTAAAATTAATGTTGATGTATTGGAAGAATATGGTAAAAGAGCTGTTGAATATAATTCACGTAAAAATGATTTAAATCAAGCAGTTAATGAAAGAGATGAAATTAAAAAAATGAGTGAAGATTTAAAGAAGAAAAGATTAGATGAATTTATGGAAGGTTTTAATATTATATCTGCAACTTTGAAAGAAATGTATCAAATGATTACAATGGGTGGTAATGCAGAATTAGAATTAGTTGATTCATTAGATCCATTTTCAGAAGGTATATTATTTAGTGTTATGCCACCAAAAAAATCATGGAAAAATATATCAAATTTATCAGGTGGTGAAAAAACATTAAGTTCATTAGCTTTAGTATTTGCATTACATCGTTATAAACCAACACCATTATATGTTATGGATGAAATTGATGCAGCATTAGATTTTAGAAATGTTTCAATTGTGGCAAATTATATTAAAGAACGTACAAAAAATGCACAATTTGTTGTTATTTCATTAAGAAATAATATGTTTGAACTTGCTCAACAATTAGTTGGTATTTATAAAGTTAATAATATGACAAGAAGTATTACATTACAAAATCGTGATTTATTAGATCGTGATTGAAAATTGTGTGTGTGTGTTTTATTTTAGGGATAATGTTTTTTGGGTTGGTTTTAATTTCGTTATTATATAAAGTTTTAATTGTAATATATAAATATGAATTTGAGAAATTTGGAGTAGCAATAAAAATTTTGTGTCATGATGATAATGTTTGCTGATCTCAACAGATAATGATCTCGTCGATCAGCAATTTAAAAGTCAATTGAGGACCAAGGAACTAAATTAGATATCCGAGATTCCGATAACAAAGCTAATCTATGATAATAACTTCAAAATACCAATTCAATTCTTAATTTATTTACCTTAAATAATTAATTCCTGATTCCAGAATCCGTTGATAGGCAAACTTCACAAGTACAAATTTCAAAAGCTCATCGGCAAACTTGTTTGTTACGTAATCAGAGCAAGAAAAAGATCTCATATATATTTATCAGGGTTGTGGCTATCTCTTTTAATGAGTTGTTTATTAACTATTCAATTTATTTGCATTTTCTGTTTGGAATTATACATATAAAATCATTTTGCTAGCTAATTTTGATGAAATTGTTTGTTTGCTGATCAAGTTTGGCTATTAAGTATTGAGTCTATATATAAAGGGAGCGTTCCAGATTGAAATCAATAACAATGTCCCAAGATCAATATTTGAAAGATCCTGATATCACAGAAACAACTGGACTCATGTCTACAAGTGATCCAGATGCTATCATAGAAACTGGTGCTCAAGAGATATTTGAATCTGTTATAACAGATGAAGATCATGAAGGTGAAAATGAAGATGTTAGATGGTTAAGAGAAGAAAGATTACATCACAAGACTTTAAATTGGTTTTATAGACCAAGTGCATTTATGATTACAATTGCCTTATTATTATGTTTCTTGGGTATGGGTACAAGTTTAGGTCCAAGAGTTACTTTAACTTTAGATTCAATTTGTAAAAAGATTCAATTTGAAGATTCATCAATAAATGAACAATGTCATGATCCAAGAATTCAATCTGAATTACTTTCACTTCAATCTGCTTTGTTAGTTGTCAATGGGTTTTGTGGTTGTACATTATCTGGTTTGATGGGGAATTTAAGTGATCGTTATGGTAGAAAACATGTATTATCAGTTGTTACTATAGTTTATTTTCTTGGTAGAGCTTTAACAGGTTATTTAATATCACCTAATACAACATATAATAGATATTATATTATATTGGCAAATATTTTAGAAGGTTCATTGGGTGGTACCACTGTTATAATGAATATTGCAAATAGTTATATTACAGATATTGTGGAACCTCATCAAAGAAATGTTTCAATTGGATTTATTTTTGGTACATTATATGCAGGTTTAGCATTTGGTCCACAATTTTCAAATTTAATTCTATTTTTTCGTCCAAATGATAATGTTTTAACTATATATTTTGAATGTGGATTAATACTTTTATCAATTTTTGTTATAGTTTTTCTATTGCCAGAATCAAGATCTGTTAAATTGAGAAGAAAATCTCAATCATCACATTTACAAAGAAAGGCAAGTTTTACATCAATTGAATCAACAAATTCAAATATTTCAAATTTTTCAATTTATAATAAATTACAATTATGGAGAATTTCTGATATTTTTTCACCTTTAAAACTTTTATGGATTCCAAAACATCGTAAATATGGATTAGGTCCAAGAATTAATATTTTATTATTATTATTAATTGAAAATATCATGTTTTTAGCTACAACTACTTTAACAACAGCTTTAGTTACATATGCAACATATATGTTTGATTGGAAATCTCAAAATATTTCAAGTTATGCATCAATTTTAGGTGGTACTAAAACTGCATGTCTTTTCATTGTTTCACCAATTTTAATGCATTATTTAAAGAAGAAATTAAATCAAAATACAAAAAGTGTTGATAATTTAGATCGATTAGTTATTGGAATTGCATTAATTTTTGATTCTTTAGGACCATTAACTGTTATATTGGCAACTAATGGTTCATATCTGTATGCATCTGCTGCATTTGCATCAATGGCTGCTTTAGGTGGGCCAACAATTCAAAGTTCATTAGTTAAACATGTTTCAGAATCGCATAGTGGTGGATTATTTGGTGCTTCATCATTAGTTAGAAATGGAGTTTTAACTATATTATCACCAATTTTATTATGGATTAATGGTAAAGCTTTAGCAGTTTTCCCAACTTTATTATTTTGGATTATGTTTGGATTATTTATATGTGCCATTATTGCAGTTTTTTTATTAAAATCTTATGATGCTAGTTTAGATACTAATATAACACCTTCACAATCAATTTCATCATTTAGATCAAATCCAAGACCAACAACTAATGGATCTAGTTCTTCTAATTTACAAAGACAATTGAATTATGGTTCAACTAGTCAACCATCATCACCAAGAAGGTGATTCAATGAGATATATACCCATCTTTATATAGATTTAATAACTCTTATACACTAGTATACATTTGATTTTTTAATATATATGGCGTTTTGATTGAAGTTATAGTCTAATAGTAAGGTTGAATATTTTTGATGTATTATAAGTATGTAACTATTTCGATACTAGCTGTTAAAGTTTCACCAGTAGGTTTTCAACCTAATAAGCTGTAACGACTTTTTTCATTATGCTTTTCGAGCTTCCAAGTACCAATAAAGATGATATAATTCTAAATGAATTCCATTCAATTGAAAGAGTGAACTATTTACTCATGTTTAAGACAATTCAGTACTGTATTTGACAAATAGTTTCAATGTCGACCAGTATATTGGTTATAACATAGCTTTTTCAAATATTTGTCACATTTACGCCCGGGGATTGAGATATATTCTCATATAAAGGCCTCGAATTTTCTGACTTTAAAAAACTAGTACAATATAATTAACTCACATTATAACTCGATCAAATAACCTTAAAGCTCTGAGACAGAAAACTGATACAAAATGCTCTCAATATAAAATTATAAATAACCATGAAGGTCCGTTGTTTTCCTCTTTTTCTTTTCCCAATTCACAATTCTGTACAATCATATAATAGCTTTAAATTACACAGTTCAATTTACACATACAATTATATATTAATAACTAATATACCAATTTATTATATTAAAGCTTATTACATTAATCAACATGACAACGTCAGATATAAACGATTTATTAAAAGATACTCACTTAGAACAAAAATCCGAGACTGAAAAGACAGTATTAGGCCCCTTTCCAATGGAAATTTGGGAAAACATTATGCAAAAAGGTAATATTAGAAAGGAACTTTTTTCTAAAAATAAAACATTTCTGAATGGATTGGTACCTTATGATTATGGTGGTGGTGGTAGTAGTATTGATCACATACACATATTATTAGTGGTGAACTATACGGGTAAAAAAACGGAATACAGAAGAAAGTTGTATGAATTTTTAGATGTTTATTATGATGCTCCAAATCGTATTAGTGATGGGAAGACATTAGTTATCTCAGATTTTGAGGAAGTCATGTTTTTACTTAATAATTTGCTCAAGAGACCTGATTCAATAATTAAAAAAAACATCTGCAAATCTATTAATGTTGACATTTCAATATTACGTGGATATAAGGAATTGATATATGATTCTGAGGTTAAGCCTACGTTGACGCGTATTGCAAATCAATTCCCCTGGTGCAGTTCATCTTCATTAACTCGAACTATAGCTGATGATTTTTTTTATGGAACATATTCACCTCAGCTTTTCAAAGAAGGTGAGAGTAGATGGAGACATCCTAAATTAGGTATATCTAAAAATGTTGATACAGATTATTGTTACACCAAAGGTTATAATTTCCATGAAATGATACATCTTTCTGAACTTTTCAAATCTTATGATTCAGGTGAAAGAATTAAATTATTAAAGGTATCTAGGCATGAAGGACTTCAAGAAAATCATCCATATAAGAAATATGTATTATCACCGGATCAATTCGAACAAGATCCAGGATTTGATGGTCAACAGCTAAAAATAGATGCTGTAATTGCTTCACATAATATCAAGATTCCAAAAAGAAGATCTTTCACTGATCTTAAAACCATATTTCTCATCAAATTAATTGTGCAAAGGTTATCATCTGTTAAAAAGTTCCATGATACTGATGTTTCTATATTCATTAGTGGAATGTCAGATTTCCAAACTACAACAGAAATTCGTAAGAGTCAAAGAGGAAAGCGAGAAGCTCTTGAAGACATGTGTAGATATATACCACATTTCACTCTATTGAATAAACCAAAATCCTTAATTTAAAATTATGTGTCATTATGTGTCATCAATACAGGTTATTATGATTACTCAGCTGTAGCATTGTGATTATGTAACAAAAGTAGCTACTATTTATCTCTTTTCGCGATTTTTGTTTATTTTTTGTATTTTTGTTTGTTTGTAATTTAATAAACTTATAATTTAAGGATTTGTGGCCAGATTTTGACATTTTAATCACTTTATGAAGATGCTACAGACAAATCTCATTTGATTATACGCACCTGCTTGGCCAAGAGAATCAACTACAATCGCTATTCAATTACAATCGTTTTTATTTAATTCTTTGCAAAGAAAAACTACACACAAAAACCAAACTATACAAACTATTGTACATTCCCCATATTTTTTTTGATTATATTAATACAACGGTTATCTATTGACCATGGACGGATTCAACAACACTGAAGCTTTAGCTCATGTTTTAGATGGTTTAAAACCAGTTTTAGGTAAATCACTATACCTATATTTTTTTTAGAAATTGTTAAGTTTGATACTAACTAACTTAGAAACTTATTTGAAGGCAATTGTTGAACAGCTGGGGTTAGCTGAAAGTGTTATTTATCCTTCTGAAAAAATGTTAGATTCCATCCATAGGGCCCTTTGTGCAAAGCTTTTTGAATCATTAGAGTCATCATTTTTCATTAAACAGTTAAGCTCCAAGTGTTTGGACTTTATACATAACGTTGTGGGCTCTATTATCCAATCTGAACTTGAAGATCTTCATCCATATGACTTGAATATTCCAGATCATTCAAATACTTTACCAATTGAATCTGCAACAATTTCCTACATTTCCAACACCCCATTTTATATATGTGCTTCACAACTTGTCACAAAAGCCCCAAGAGTGGCTTGTATTCCTTGTGTTCCCAAAGGCAAAGGTTCAGAAGATTTAGAAGACCAAGTTTTTCAAGGAAGTGCTATGAGAAACCTTAATATTGGTACACCAAGATTGAAAAAAAAAGCTGTCAAAGTTTTAGAAGGCCCAGTTTTTCGAAAAGTTCATACCCCCAAGATTGGTTCAACAAACTTGAGAAAAAAAGTTGCCAAGGTTGTCAAGTCGGTTTTACGAACCCATGATTGGGAAGGATTTGAAGAATTGAATGAAAGGCAATTGCATTATTATTTTTTTGATATGATTCGTGACAAGTTGTCCCGAGAAAATGGATTTTACATATTACATACAGATCATTACATGATTTATGATATCATCGAAGGTTTTACTAAATATTATATGAAACGAAATCTAGTGGTGAAATTTTGGTTAGCTTGTCTTACTATTATTTTTGTCCTACGTTTAGCACTTCCACGCTGATAAGATTTAAATCAAGACCAACTTGTGATCTAGAGAAAAATCTATTTTTATTAATTTGATGTATTAGAACAAGTTTAAGTGATCATGTGAAAAAAAAGATTCCAAGGTAATTTTGAACATTACAATCTATAGTGATGGTACAATAATTAAGACCAAAAAGATTAAGAAGTGAATGTATAGAGTTGGAGAATTACATAGAGTTTATTTGAAGTGACTGTTCATGAATTTCATGAAACATATATTTTATTTCAATTTATACTATTGTAGACTGATTGTAGAATCGAATAATTTCATATATTTCTTAAATGCGTTCTTTTATATACTGTTATCGAGAAAAAAAAAGCTTGCCCTAATCACGTGGTGTCGGGTGACTTTGTTCTGTCAGAAAAAAGCACCTTTATAGTTATCAAAAGAGTGCATCAGCGCATCATGAACAGATAATCAGAAAGTGGCATTTTAATTATAAAAGCAACCAAAAACTAAAATCATATTCAAATTTAGATCAAACATTCCATTTTAAACTAGTTGATAACCTCCTCCCAACAAATACATTTCCTCAAAGTTCAAGGAAAACTATTCATTCAAAGTCTAGTTCGAGACATAATTAAACTTTGACACATTAATAAGATGCTTTTGTCTTTTGAAGAGTGGATCAAGGATTTGTTTACAAATCATCAAGGATGGTTTCTTACTGCTTTAAGTTCATTAATGTGTATCTTTGGAGCTGCTGTGATATATTTGGACTTACTAGTACGAGTATTTAACAAAAGATCAAAATTTGATATTAAAAGTAATGAGAAATTTTTAATATGTGGATTTAGTTTAAGTAGTGGATCATTATTATTTACATCATTTTATAAATTATTACCAAAAGCATTAGAATATTTCCAAAATGCATTAAATGAACAAGAAGAATCATCAAGTCATAAACATGGTGATGGATTAAAACCAAGTTTAAGTCTTTTAATTTATTTTCTTGTGGGGGTATTCACTTGTGAAATTTTAAATTATTTTATTCATCGTTTTACAAGTAAAAGTATAATTCATTGTAATCATAGTGGTGAAAGTGATGAAGAAAGTGTTGATGATCATAGTCATTCTGGTCATTCACATAGCCATGGTGGACATGGTGGACATGGTCATGAACATCATGAACATGAACATGAACATGAACATGGTCATTCTCACTCAACATCAAGTGATGATGATGATGGTGATGATAAACGCTCACATGATAATCATGATCATACAACAAGCTTCCATGTTGATGAAGAATCTTTAATTGCAAATGATATACCCCAACAATTTAATTATGGATCAAATGATTTATCAAATCCTTTAGTTGTTCATGAAACAACAATTATTCAACCAACTGAAACAAGTTCACCACATAAACAAAGACCTTCATTAATTACACAAAAGAGGAAATCATTTTTTGATCTTGCATTAGGTAAACTGAAAAAGCAAAATTCATGTATTGGTATTGATGATGAAGATTGTGAAGGTGTTGAGAATTGTATTAGTGATGAATTAACAAATAATGTTTCTAATGATTTACATAATTTGAATTTCTATAGAGGTTTAAATATTTCCAAATCAAGACAATCAATAGTTGCTTATACATCAAATCCTTCATCAACTGGATTGAATCAAACTTATCAACAACATCAACATCAGCTACAACAACATCCACATCAACATCAACCATTTGATATAGAAGCAACTTCAAATACAGATGAAAATTTATTAGAACAAGCTAAATTAATACCAGTAAATCCACCAACAAATATTAGATTAAGTACAGAAGCTAATTTAGATAATCATCAAAAACATAAAGATGATCATCATCATCAAGTTACAACTCCAATTTCCAAATTATTAGCTATTGGTTTACAAACTTGTTTAGCTTTAACATTACATAAATTTCCTGAAGGGTTTATAACATTTGCAACTTCTAAAGCTGATCCAAAATTAGGAATTTCAATATTTTTATCACTAGCTATTCATAATATTGTTGAAGGTTTCAGTATGACATTACCATTATATTTAGCTTTTAATTCAAGATTTAAAGCATTCACAATTACTTTCTTACTTGGTGGATTTAGTCAACCTGTTGGTGCAGCAATTGCATATTTAGCACTTTCAGGTAAAGATATTGATAAAAATGCATCATTTTATGTATTTGGGATTTTGATGAGTATTACATCTGGGTTTTTATCTGTTATTAGTTTACAATTGTTCGCAAGCTCTATTAATTTTGGTGGTCATACAAATACTGTTATAAAATGGTGTTTAGTTGGTGTTGTTATTATTCAAATTTCAAGCACATTAACTGAGTATAGTAGTTGATTCTAAGGGAAAAACAAGAGAAAAAGAGATGAGAAGAAAGGGAATTTATATAGATTATACATAGCTACATTCAACGATCATTTTAATAAAGGAAATCTGGCATTTTTGAGTATTTTGAATAATTTTGTATAGTAGTTTATACATTTGATACGCGCACTCGGACGCGAACTTGAACTATACTAATAG